ATCACGTGGCAAAAGACCGCTATGATTGGCCTTTTACCACATCACATGATCAGCTGTGTTTGTAGGATCACGGAGCTTGCCGGATGCTTGCCCCCAGGGGGCACGCAGTAGGGCGCGTTCTGGAAGGACGTCAAATGAACGCCCTCCCAGGACTGGAAAACCGTGCTGTAGCCATCATTCGGATATAGCGTGGTTGCCAATTGGTTAATCATGACATTGCACTTCCTTTTGTCAGATTATTGTGCTCTCTCCAGCCAAAATCTTGCCCTTGTCACTCCTGTGCCATCTGTATCTTTGCTAGCACTTGTTACCGATCTTTGGCTTGTTTTCTTGACTACACTTTCTGCTTGGTCACAACCTGCAACCCCTTGTTAGTGACCTGCAACCACATAAAAACACGCAGAAAAACCCATCTCCACCTTCAGGGGCTCTGGTGAATACCGTTAGTCTGTAGACCCCACACTTCGGGTTAGCCAGCATCATCTGCCAGGGTGACATGCTTGTATACTTGTCCTGCTGGTTGGTGGAAGCCTCTCTACTGCTGTGGAGGGTGGATAGAATATAACCATCTGTTTTATTCTAAAATGTTTATGTCATATTCTCCTTGGCTCTTCAGGCCTCCTGACCATACTGTCAAGTAGAACACATGTTTCATTTAGTTCCTAATCGAACTTCGGATGAATTTTCCGTAGTATTCAGAGAATTGGTATGTAATCCGAATTCCGATAATGTAATAACTGAATTTTTAAACAAATCCAAAATAACAAAACAAAATTTCGAGAGGTGCCGAAATTCAGAAACGATTCAAAAACAAATTTGAATTCGAAAACAAAGAATAGAATAAAATAAATAAAAAAAAAAAAAAAAAAGAAAGAAAAAAAAGAAAAGTAAGAAAAAAAAAAAAAGAAAAGAAAATAAAAGCAAGAACAAATAAAAAGAAAAGAAAAAGTAAAAAAGAAAAAAAAAAAAATAAAGGAAAAAAAATAAAAGAATAAAAAAAAAAAAAAAAAAGAAAAAAAAAAAAAAAAAAGAAAAAAAAAAGAAAATCAAAAATAAAAAAAAAAAAAAAAAAAAAAAAAAATGCGAAAAAAAGAAAATAAAAAAAAAGAAAAAAAAAAATTAAAAAGAAAAAAAAAAAAAAAAAAAAAAAAAAAAAAAAAAAAGAAAAAGCAAATAGAAAAAAAAAAATAAAAAAAAAAAAATAAAAAATAAAAAGTAAAGTCTTCTAAAAAAAAAAAATAAAAAAAAAAAAAAAAAAAAAAAAAAAATTGGAAAAGAAAAAAAAAAAAAAAGAAAAGAGGAGAAAAAAAAAGAATAAAAAAAAAAGAATTAATAAAACAAAAAAAAAAAATAGAAAAAAGAATAGAATCAATAAGAATAAAATAGAAAAAAATTAGAATAGAATAGAAAGAAAAAAAAAAAAAAAAAGATTTTATAGAATGAATTTTGAAAAGAATATAAAAAATATAAAAGAAAAGAAAAAAAAAAAAAAAAAGAAAAAAATAAAAAAAAAACAATAAAAATTGTGAAAAATGTTAGACATTAATTGTTGATGCCGTCGAATTTGAATAAACAAAACAAATTTCTGAAACGAATTAAACAAAACAAAAGTAGTCAAATAACGAATCAAAACAAATTTTTTCATTTTGCACGTCTATTTTGAAGGGCCTTGGTGTACAGCACCTGCCTGGAGTGTTGCATGTTCTCCCCTGTGCCTGTGTGGGTTTCCTCTAGGTACTCCGGTTTTCCTCCCACTCTCCAAAGACATGCCAGTAGGTTCATTGGCTCCTGTCTAAATTGTCCCTAGTATGTGTATGTATGAATGTGAGTTAGGGACCTTAGATTGTACAACCCCCTTGAAGGTTAGGGACTGATGTGAATGTACAATATAAATGTAAAGCGCGAAGCGTTGAGCTAAATTGATGGTGCTATATATAGTACCTTAAATATTAATAATAATGGGGCCCTAAATTAAAATCTTGCCACTGAAAAACTAATTTAAAAAAAAAAAGTATGTCAGTCACATTTTCAGTGTCTACATTTACGCCAGGTTGGATCCAAACTATCTGAAAAAAAGTGTGTTAACCACTTGCCCTCCAGAGGATTTACTCCCCTTCTGACCAGGACATTTTTTGCGCTATAAAAAAAAAGACCGACAATTTTGAGAAACAAAAACAGTATTTTTTTACTTTTTGCTATTAAAACATTTCCAGTAAATACATTGAAAAAAAATCCAATGTCATCATAAATTTAGGCCAAAATGTATTCTGCGACATGTCTTTGCTAAAAAAAAAAATCCCAATACGTGTAAATTAATTGGTTTACTTGAAAGTTATAGCGTCTACAATTGGCAGTACAGCTACTGGGATCATTTATTTTAATTGTTTTTTACTAGTAATGGCAGCGATCAGTGACTTATATCGGGACTGTGGGGGGCGTTCTGACACTGGGGGGAACTGATTTGGTGTCACTGACATCCCCAGTGACACCAATACAGTGATCAGTGCTAGAAAAAAAAAAAAAAAAATAAGCACTGACACTGAACCATAACAGGCCACATGCCCTCAACATGAGAGGGGCCTTTGGGGCAGGGGGGGCTCCCCGCCCCAAAGAACATTGTCTCCAAGGGCCTCTTCCCCACAACCCAGGCCGGGGGTTGTGGGGGTCTGCGGACAGGGAGCTTATCAGAATCTGAAAGCCCCCTTTAACAAGGGGGCCCCCAGATCCCAGCCCCCCCATGTGAATGAGTATGGGGGTACATGGTCCCGCTACTCATTCACAAAAAAAAACAAAAAGTGTAATGAGAAAAAAAGAGAGGACACGGTATTTGACAAGTCCTTTGATTAAAAGAATAAAAGAAAGTCCGCCGCAGTAGATCCAACATCAATCATGATGTCCACCAACGACCCAAACTGTCCGGTGGTTTGACAGCTCTTAAATATGTAAGGGGCGGGGCCACCCAGGGATATCATCATTGATGTCACATGGGGTGGGGTCACCATGCTTGATGTCCCTGGGTGGCCCCACCCCTTACATATTTAAGAACTGTCAAATCATTGGAGCAGGCAGACGGCCAGGAGCCATTCTCGAAAGTGGAGCCTTTTTTTTTTTATTATTTTTTTCGGGTCGGCGGACATCATGATTGACGTTGGATCTACTGCGGGGAACTTTCTTTTATTTTTTTCTTCTAATAAAAGACTTGTCCTGTCTTTTTTCACACGCTTTTTTTTTTTTTTGTGAATGAGTAGCAGGACCATGTACCCCATACTCATTCACATAGAGGGGGAGAGGCAGGATCTGGGTGCCCCCTTGTTAAAGGGGACTTCCAGATTCCTATAAGCCCCCTGCCCGCAGACCCCAACAACCACCGGCCAGGGTTGTGGGGAAGAGGTCCTTGTCCCCATCAACATGTGGACAAGGTGCTTTGGGGGGGGAGCCCCCTGCCCCAAAGCACCCACTCATGTTGAGGGCATGTGGCCTGGTATGGTTCAGGAGGGGACGCTTGCTCACCCCCCCCTTCCTGACCTGCCGGGCTGCATGCTCGGATAAGGGTTTGGTATGGATTTTGGGGGGGACCCCCACGCCATTTTTTTTTAATTTTGGCGTGGGAGTTCCCCTTAAAATCCATACCAAACCCTTGTTTGGTATAGATGGGGAGGAGGGACCCTACGCCGTTTTTTTTATTATGGGTGCCGGTTTTTAAATGTAATTACCGCTCTTTTTTTTTCTTCACTATAGCTCACAGAATCAGCTGTCACTTTCCCCCGACTAAAAGAGAAAGTTTCCTTTTAGTTTATTTCCCCAAGTTAAAAGAAATAATGTTTCCTTTTAGTTTATTTCCCCAAGTTAAAAGAAAATTTCCTTTTAGATTATTTCCCCAAGTTAAAAGAAACAATGTTTCCTTTTAGTTTATTTCCCCAAGTTAAAAGAAACAATATTTCCTTTTAGTTTCTTAAAAGAAACAAAGCTTCCTTTAACTCCAGGGAAAGCAACAGCTAATTCTGTGAGCTATAGTGAAGAAAAAAAAAAAAGCCAGCAATCGCATCTAAAAATCAGCACTGACATACACTTCGTATTGCAAAAAAAATTTGTAAACCGAGGCATTATTTTCAATGGGTTTTCATTCATAAACTGAAAATGACGTTAACCGAGGCGTTTGTAAACCGAGGTACACCTGTAATGGAAATCGCACTGCAAATTGCAAAAAATCATTGAAAATTTCACAAGTAGCAATAAAGTCTTCTGAAGAATCGTGCTGAAATTGCACACAAATCGCAGAGGTTTGACCGATGGCTTACTGCTGTTACTGTCCATGTAATTTGAAAGGGTAAAAAAAAATATTTTTTTTTTCTTTCAATAATCCACCCCAGTTTATGTAACTACTCTCCTTCATTCAGGACTGCAGTCCACTCCCAGAAGAATGTGAGGCAGTTGAGTCAGACACCAGCAAACACTGGGGGGATTTACTAAAGCTAGTTCACTCAGAATCTTGTGCACCTGCATGGTAGCCAATCAGCTTCTAACCTCAGCTTGTTCAATCAAGTTTTAGCAATAAAACCTGGAAGCTGATTGGTTTCTATGCAGAAGTGCAGATTAGTAAATGAACCCCACTGTACACTTGTGGCCCCCTGTATAGGAGCTCTCCTCTCAGTCTAATCTCCCGCCTCAGTCTATTCCTCGCTCTCACAGTACCCAATCCCAAAGCAGAGTTTTTAATCTCGCGAGAACACTCATTTTCCCGGCTTCCTCTCAGCTCTTCTTTAGAAATATCCAATGTGCGGTGTTGTTCTATACTTCCACCGCCAAATGACTCCTTAGTCTACACGACTATCTGGAAATTGCAGGCGGGCGGAAACTTTTGTTCTCATCTTTTACCGAAGGATTTAGGTGCCCTCATTAAAAATGGTCGCTCCTGTAGAATGACTATGAGTGACGTAGCAGGAAGCTGTGGGTAGTGAAAACATTGGGTAGTGAATGCTGGCTGGAGGTAGAGGGTTCTGATGGCGACCCAGCTGGGCAAAAGGAAATCGGACGGCACGAGACCAGGGCGGCATGACGAGAAACAAGCATCATGTGGAGGGAGCCATCGTCAGGATCAAGATGGAGAACTTTCTGTATGTGTCCGGGTATTGTGCAGTGAGAGGTTCCATCAATGACACAGCTCTACATGGACTACTCTGTCCGCTCCGCATTCAAATGACGGCATGGCTGATTAAAGGGGAGCTCTAGGCAGCACATTCTTCTTCAGCCTGACCATACACTATACAATCTCATCTATGTAGTGTAAAGTCTGCCCAATCTGATCCTAATAGAATGGTTGGCTTTGTCGTCACATTGTAAAGTTTCACCATACACGGTCCAATCAACTTTAGAGTTACCAAAACTCTGTCATACGAGGACCCATCTAATCTATCCGATCACCCTGTATTCATTCAGACAGGCCCTTGTACTCTATAGTTTTTGGTAGATCTAAAGGAGATTGTACAACCAGATTGTAATGCATGGTGAGCTTTAACTCATTCCTGCCTGTGTAACACATATGTCTGGCAGCAAAAGGGTGGACTATAACGCCCACCCTCCAGACATATGAGTCACCGGGTGGCCGATCTGTCTATGTTGAGAGCACATTCACTGCTGTCAGTTATCTCAGTTGTCACTAACAATCAGTAGTTGGCAGGACTGGCTCCCAGTCATGTGACCATTGTGACAGCCAATTGTATTGGTCACATGATTGCTGATCCTCCGTGCCCCCCACCCCAGGCATTCAAAATCTTTTAAGCCAGTTGCACACGGATGTAATAATTTACTGTTGTTTATTTTTTTATTTATTTCAGGTACTTATATAGCGCCATCAATTTACACAGCGCTTTACATATATATATTGTACATTCACATCAGTCCCTAACCCTCAAGGGGTGTACAATCTAAGGTCCCCAAGTCACATTCATACATACACGTACTAGGGCCAATTTAGACAATTCACCTGCCAGCATGTCTTTGGAGTGTGGGAGGAAACCGGAGTACCCAGAGGAAACTCATGCAGGCACAGGGAGAACATGCAAACCCCAGGCAGGTGGTGCCGTGGTTGGGATTCAAGCTGATGACCCTAGTACTGCCAGGCGGAAGTGCTAACCACCTAGCCACTGTGCTGCCACTGTTGTTTAGGCATTATGCACACTGAGCACAGCTGTATAAAGTTGCATTAAAAACATGAGAGTTTTCGCATCTTTTTTTAGCATTTTTGAATTAGTGTTTAGCTGTGTTTTTTCGTGTTGGTATTTGTTTTTTTTAAAAAAAAATGGCTCAAAAATGCTGGTTTGCCACATTTTATAGCGTTTATCAGCAGAGCATTTTTACAGCTAAAAAACTCTAGAAGTCCTCATGCACACTGGACATTTTGCTGTTTTTGGCTTTTGACATTTTTTTTCTACAGCTAGTAAACCCCCCAGCATGTTATCCTATGTGTCCATACACGCATAGACTGTAATCAACGTTTTTTTTTGCTGAAAAAAAAAAAAAACAGGACTAGTGAGTTTCTAGAGAAGTTTTTTAGCTGTAAAAATGCTCTAATGCTGAAAAATGTGGTAAAACGCCGCAAACTGTCGTTTTTGGATTTTTTTTTTTTTACAACAAAACGCAAACACAGGAAAACGCAGCTAAATGCTAATGCAAAAAACGCTTAAAAAAAGCTGAAACGAAACGTTCAATTTTTTAACGCGACTTTACACAGCAAACGTTACCAGCGTTATCAAAACGTCCAGTGTGCATGAAGGCAAAACCCACCAGTTATGGGAATTTTTTACTGCCAAAAAACGCTGATTAAAGCCTATGTGTGCATGGACACAGAACAATATGCTGGGAGTTTACTGGCTGTAGAAAAAAGCACCAAAAGCCAAAAAACAGCAGCTGTAAAAACATCCAGTGTGCATGAGGACTTGTACTCAGGATCTTGTTGATAGAAAGATCCTGGGCAAAATGTTCTGTAAAGACCTTGCATAAACGCCTAGAGGCGCTGGCACCATTGCCAGTATACATGCATATGCATATGTTTATGTATGTTTACAGTATGTATGCAGAAACATAAGCAAATGTGTTAACCTGCATATGCACATAAATGACTGCACTCAAACATAACATTTTCTAGTTTTCTTCTACAGCTCTGTACTTATTACTGTATCACTGATCTTTATACAGGTGTGTGTGCATTGTTCCATAGACAGCAATGCACCTGTGTCCAGATCAGTGAGACTACATTCACACCAGCAACATAGGCCAGTGTGAATTGTAGCAGCAGGAGTCTCCTGATTCCTGCTGTGGCTAGGTGTGGCTGCAGGCCCCATTCACTATAATGACAGGTCACTGGTGGCCACAGCTATTTGCAGCTCTCCACATAGCCAGTGATTACTTGATTGTACACAAAATGCATCCAGCAGCGATTTATCACAGGTAATCGCTGGCTGTGTGGACGGACATGAATAGCTGCAGTTGCCAGTGGCCAATCATATAGTGAAAAGGGCCAACAGCCACGTTGAGCCGCTTACAGCCGTAGCAGGAAGCTGAAGATTCTTGCTGCTGAAATTCACACTGTCCTAAGTCGACGGTGTGAGTTTAGCCTTTTTTTTTTTTTTTATTCCCATGTGCAAGAGACCTTAACTTTTTGGCACTGACAGTACACTCATATTTGGCCTTTCAGCGGGTGGGCCCTAACACTGAAAGGCTGCATATATGCTTATCAGAAAGTAAACACAGCTGTGCCGATAGCGCATTTCGGATTGCTACTTGCGATCAGGAGCTTTCCAGTCATGTGACCACCAATAAGGCGGTCACATTTATTTATTATTTTATTTCAGGTACTTCTATTTTAAATTTAGGGCCCCATTATTATTATTATTTCAGGTACTTGTATAGCGCCATCAATTTATGCAGTGCTTTACATATATATTGTACATTCACATCAGTCCCTAACCCTCAAGGAGCGTACAATCTAAGGTCCCTAACTCACATTCATACATACACATACTAGGGACAATTTAGACAGGGTACAATTTACCAACCAGCATGTCTTTGGAGTGTGGGAGGAAACCAGAGTACCCGGAGGAAACCCACGCAGGCACAGGGAGAACATGCAAACTCCAGGCAGGTGGTGCCATGGTTGGGATTCAAACCAGCAACCCTAATACTGCCAGGCGGAAGTGCTAACCATTTAGCCACTGTGCTGCCCACATGATCATAAATCTCAACCAGTCCCTAAAGGGCCTGGTGGTGCTGGCACCAAGGGGTTAAGGAACACTCAGGTGGGTGGGAGGAGCTCCATCCAGAAGGGGAAGTTCCGCTTTAAGGCCTCATCTGCGCTCCCTGTTAAGGATTTGCACCTTTGGAAAGTGGGTACCCTCCGTCCCCATAGTCTTCTGGGACACATGACAGGTCCCAGAAGACTATGGGAGCATTTATAAGGCACAGCACTGCTTACACATCTGTAGTGGACACCCATCTGTGAAGCCACAAGCTGTCACAGCCCACATATAAGTTGCTATCGCCAGGAAGAGAGGAAGGCTGGTGAAACCGGATGTGATGTGTACACAGCTGGATCGTTGGGACAGGTGAGTGACTTTTTTTTTTTTAAAGTCAGCAGCTACAGTTTTTTTTGCTGCTGACTTATTTTTTTTTTACATTTTGACTGGAACTCTGCTTTAAGAAAATTGTAACGTGTCGTGACCTTTAAGGTGGTTATAATGGCCTGAGGGTTTTTTTTTACCTTCATGCATTCTATGCGTGAAGGTAAAAAAACCTTCTGTGTGCAGCAGTCCCCCCAGATCCCCTAATGCTTACCTGAGCTCAATTGCAATCCAGTGATATGCACAAGAGCCGTGACTCTCCCTCCTCAATGGCTGAGACTGTCCCAGCCATTGAGCCAATGAGGAGAGAGGGGGTGGAGCCTAGTCGTGGCTGTGTGTGTGTGTGAATGGACACGCAGAGCATTGGCTCGGGAGCAAGCCTGCTTAGGTGCCCCCATAGCAAGCTGCTTTCTCTAGTAGCAATCGGCAGTTGGGAGGGGCCAGGGGACCCGAGAAAGAGGTGGATTAGCGCTGCTCTGGGTAAAACCACTGCACAGAGCAGGTAAGTATGACCTTTTTTTTTTTATTTTTTTTTTTAAAGCCTTCCTTTAATATCACTTTAAGATAATCTGAGATTGCACAATAAGATTGTATAGTATATGGCCAACTTAAGCTGTTCGTAGGTAGAGTTAAAATATCTATTAGGTCTATATTGCTGTGTTCTCCTTGTTTACTTCTTTCCTGCACCAGAATCAGAGTTTATCTCCCCAAAATGATGGCCAGTCCCACTTTTGTCAGTTGTCACTGAGAGCCTCCACAGAAATGTCCCATGTGCTTGTGTTCTGTAGACATCTGTAAAATGCTAGATTTCCATTGAATTCTGTCATTTGGCAATAGTCATCAAGACAAAATGTAATCTCCCCAATGGGGTCACAGACTGCAAATAGATAACTGGCAATATTCTAATCCATGCCCACTCTAAAACTAGGGGAAACTGTTGGCTGAAGCTCTGTCATGAGAGAATAACGGGGGCTGCCATTCTAGACCTTCTTTGAAAAATGCTATATGCCTGGCTGTTTCTGATTTCAGTATGTTTCAGTCACAGTCAAACATACAGTAAATAAGCATCAGACCTTTTCTCTATACACATTCCAGATCACCGACAGCTTTGGTGTCGGAGCATCAAAATAACAACCAAGGAACTAGTTTTCTCAAAGCAGAGTTTAGTAATGGCATCCTCCATTAACCTCCCATGACAGTGTCTTTTTAGTGACCATAGTGCTGACCATATATATTTTTTGTTTTTTTTCTTCATTGACCCACTAGGCTGAACAAAAAACACTAAGCAGATTCCTGCATCCATATGATTGAGGTTGATAAAGGAATGCTTGTTTGAGAGTATTCTGATAGCGGGGACTCTTCCAGTGTCAGAATACACTAATTGGATATGGCAAATGATGGTTGGTAAATTAAGCGTTGTATGTAGGGTTAGTCTGCTGACAGAGTAGCAACTCTAAGGTCCCATGCACACTGGGCATCAAAAACGCTGCTTTGAAGGATCGATTTGATTTTTTTTTTGGCTTCTAAACGCCCTTCCATGTTAGCCTATGTGTCACTGCACATTTAGGTGTTTAGAGGCAGAAAAAAAAAATATCCCCTGTATGTTCAGGCAGAAAAAAACCCTGACGTGCATAAACTCTGTCGTATTTAGTGCTTGTGCATTCAGTCATTTCAGTGGCCAGAATAAATTCTTTTTTTGACCAATGGAGTGAATGAGCACTCAAACACTTGACCGGCCTAAATGCATTTGCAAAATTCTGCTTTGGACGTGTTTTACGATGCTTTTCTCCTGCCAGGAGAGAAGGCATTCTGAAGAGCTGGGCAAACGCCCAATGTGCATGAGGCCTAGGGGTTCATCTACATAGGGTTTATGCAGGCATTTTAGATACCTGGTATGATTTCCTGGCGTTTTACTGAGCCTGGTGAGCTGCACATGCATAGAAGTTATTGGCTATATGCAGCTGTGTCTTGGAAGCGCCGATGCATAGCCAATATATTTTACAAAGCAAAACTTTCGTGGTTACATAGTTAGTCTGGCTGAAAAAAGACAAAAATCCATCCAGTTCAACCATTAAAAAAAAAAAAAAAAAAAAAAAAGTTGTAATCCTATACCCACAGTTGATCCAGAGGAAGGCAAAAAAAACCCCAGCAAAGCAGGATTCAATTTGCTCCTGCAGGGAAAAAAATCCTTCCTTATCCTCCGAGAGGCAGTTGAATATTTCCTGGATCAACTTTACCTATAAATGTTAGTATCCAGTTATATTCTGTGTATCTAGGAAAGAATCCAGGCCTTTTATAAAGCAATCCACTGAGCTGGCCAGAACCAACTCTTGAGGGAGTCTATTCTACATTTTCAGTGGTTGCCTCATTGGCTAGTAAGGACCCTCTCACTGTACTGCTAAGTTTTTACCAAGATTGTACCGTTCATGCTGACTCAACATCTGAGCAAGATTAACTGCTTTTTGAAGAAATCCTAACTGCTTGGAATCAATTTGAGGGAGACGAAGAAAAATGAGCACGCCTGTAGATCTGGAAAATCTTAATTCTTATCTGTAGTATTTAGATACATTTGCTTTAACATAGTAATTTACATGTATTTATAAATATTGTTCTAGATGGTGTAATCTTTATTTGTTTTATCTTTTATGCAGTACATATGACTTGTGTGAGGTGTTTCCTGGTCCTCACTTAAACATGATTGTTGGTGCAAATGGAACAGGAAAGTCTAGCATCGTTTGTGCTATTTGTCTGGGATTGGCTGGAAAGACCTCCTTTATTGGCCGAGCCGATAAGGTAACATTAATTTGATTTACCATGTAGATTTTATACACATATATTGTATTAAGACCTTTCCACTCTGGTGTAGACTGCTATCATGAAAATATTCTATAGTGTTGTGCAAGAGGCTCGTCCAATCTGGCAAAAGTTGGATTAGTTCTGGAAGATAGGGGGTAGATCTATTAAACTAACTGCTTACAATTTGCTTCCATCTCAGATATGCCCTATCCCCTAGTGCAGTGGTCGGCAAGCCGCGGCTCTTTACACGCTTTAATGCGGCTCTTGTGTGCCGGGCGCCCCCGCTCCCCTCCCTCCTCTCGGGCGGCAGGGACTCTGCAGCGTGATCCAAAAAAAAAACAGCCAGGGCAGCGCGCTCAAATGCAATGATTGGCCAGTCTCGCTGCCACTCACATCCTGATAGCCAGCGATTGGCTGTCAGGATGTGTGTAGGCGGGGCAGCGTGACGAACGTGAGAGGAGCTAGGCTCCTCTCACAGTTCGCCCTGAAGACCGGAACGGCGTGGGAACACGGCGAGAGGAACGCGCGGAGCAAAGGTAAGTGAATTGACACAGGGGGGACTTGGCTTACTACTTGCTACTTACTTACTACTACTATATGAGGGATGAATTACTATGGGGGATGAATTACTATATGGGGGATGAATTACTATATGGGGGGATTACTTTATGGGGGATACTATATGAATTACTATGGGGGATGAATTACTATATGGGGGATGAATTACTATATGGGGGATGAATTACTATATGGGGGATGAATTACTATATGGGGGATGAATTACTATATGGGGGATGAATTACTATAAGGGGGATGAATTACTATGGGGGATGAATTACTATGGGGGATGAATTACTATGGGGGATGAATTACTATATGGGGGATGAATTACTATATGGGGGATGAATTACTATGGGGGATGAATTACTATATGGGGGGATGAATTACTATAGGGGGATGAATTACTATAGGGGGGATGAATTACAATATGGGGGATGAATTACAATATGGGGGATGAATTACTATAGGGGGGGTGAATTACTATAGGGGGGATTAATTACTATAGGGGGGGGGGGAATTACTATGGGGGATTAATTACTATATGGGGGATGAATTACTATATGGGGGATGAATTACTATATGGGGGATGAATTACTATGGGGGATGAATTACTATGGGGGATGAATTACTATGGGGGGATGAATTACTATATGGGGGATGAATTACTATGGGGGATGAATTACTATATGGGGGATGAATTACTATAAAAACTTATTGAAACTAAAAACAGTGTACCATGTATTTTCAGTTTTAAAAATGTGGCTCTCAAAATAAATTTCAATCGTGGTTTTGGCGAGATTTGGCTCAGTTGAAAAAAAAGGTTGCCCACCACTGCCCTAGTGAATCTCATTCTTACAATATGTGTATCTATTCAATGGGTTGTTGCATTGCACTAGAAAACGTCCACTGTACCCATCTCCCTGGTTAACTTGAAAATGGAATCCATTATGCTAATGACAAGATCTTTCATACATTAAATAACTCAATGACATTCTTTGACAACAAATGTGATTCTTGGTTTAAATATGACTACATCTTCCAAAGATTAGTTCTTCTCCTTCCCTCAGCTCCTCCTAATGTATATTTTTCTTTGCACCTATTGATGACTTATGATATTTTAGCTCATTACTTTGATTTTGTCATGCTCCATATTGGCATATTTGTTGTACCATTAAATGTTTTCAATATTGCTTACTGGATGTTACATATCATCTTTTCTAGGCTCTAGAATAAATAGCTTCATCGTTTTTGTTTTTGTACTTTTGTGCTATTTTGAATTCTGACTTGTATCTATGCTGGTACTTCTGTACAGTTGTATTTTATTTTTATGCAAATCAATAACAAGTTTGTAAGCAAAAAAAAAAAAAAAAACTCTATAGTGTTAATGTACTTGCCTTCCCTGCATTCAAACCCAACACCATACAGCCTGGAATTCCTCTGTTTCCACTTGAAGAGCAAGAACAAACGTACATGGAGTAATGCCCCCCCCCCCCCCCACTCACTCGAATCATTCAGTTGGGTGTAATACGTTCCTCTACACCTGGAAGAAAGTTATTTGTTTGGTTGTCTGGCAGCGAGGGATAGCAGGGAAGATATATACTGAAATGCACATTGGGCGTTTTTAACGCTGCTGTTAGGGGCCTCTGTCTGTTGGGTTTTTTTTTTTTGCCTTTAAATAACCCTGCATGTTAGCCTATATGTGCATGCACACATAGGTATTTAGGCCCCATTCACATCTGAGTGCAGCATTTTTGTTCTTTTTTTTGCATGTTTGCAAATGTTTATGCGTGATTGGTTCAGGCGTTTTTGGGCTTTTGAGTTCTGGCGTTTTTGTATTAGCTAATAGAAAAAAGTTATCTGTGACATCAGTTGTTGCCATGCCAGAAATATGCTCTTGGTCGCGTGACAGCGCATGAAAATGCATGATTTGCGTGTTTCCATGTATGAAAACGTGCCAAAATTGCATCAATCTGCCCGAATGGAGCAACAAATATAGCTCCAAAACTTTTTTAAGCTTTAGGCTACTTGGAGTGGAGATGTGAACCATCTCCTTAGATCCTTAGAGCAATATTGATTTTTTTTTCCTCCCTGAGCGTAATAGAGCTTCACACTACAAAGTGCTGAGGTGTGAATGGGACCTTAGAGGCAGAAGAAAAAAATCCACTGCTAATGCATCCAGGAGCAGCAGTGTTTTGGCAAAATAAACGTGTTAACATAAGGCATGTTTAGCACTTGAGTGTTAATTTCCATAGTCAGAATAAATGATTATGAAAATGAATTAATGCTAAGAGCTCGACATGCCTAAGCACGTTTGCAAGCATCTTTTCTGCCAAAATCCTGCTGCCAGGAGGAAAAGGAGACGGCCAAATGTCCGGTGTGCATGACGCCTAACATTTTTCTGAGAGGAAATGACATTGATGAATTACGTCAATGTGGATCTGTTTAAATAGAGAGATGAACTCATGCATGTTCAGATCCTGATTCGATCCCACCTGAGCTATCCTACAAGAAAGCTACAAACCACCAATCGTAAGCGGCCGAGGCATTCCCCACCCCACAGACGTATGTATACACTCCTTGTTTATGTGTTACTGCGGGTTGGGAAAAGCCTTGGCCACTTATGAGCCTTGGCCTGAGATTATCTCTACCAGTGATCGAGTATCTTCAGTGCTAATTGCAGTCTGGTTTTGAGTTGCAGATATTGAATGCCAGTTACCTATGGTTTTGTAGTTCTGAAGCAGATCACTCAGTGTGATCAATGTACAAGCTACCACAAGAGACTGTGATCTTCATGACGTGCTGGGACTAATACAGTTGCAAGAAAAAGTATGTGAACCCCTTGGGATTACGTGGAGTTTTGCATGAATTGGGCATAAAATGTGCTCTGAACGTCATCTAAGTCACAACAATAGAAGAACACAGTCTGCTGAACATAATACTACACAAACATTAGATGTTGCCATGGTTTAATTGCACATAACATGTAAACATTCACAGTGCAGGGAGGAAAAAATATGTGAACCTTTGGACTTAATAACTGGTTGACCCACCTTTGGCAGCAATAACCTCAACCAAATGGTTCCTGTAGTTGCAGATCAGACCTGCACAACTATCTGGAGTAATTTTGGACCACTCCTCTTCACAAAACTGTTTCAGTGTAGCAATATTCTTGGGATGTCTGGTGTGAATCGCTCTCTTAAGGTCATGCCACAGCATTTCAATGGGGTTGAGGTCAGGACTCTGACTGGGCCACTCCAGAAGGCGTATTCTGTGCTGTTGCAGCCATTGTTTTGTTTAATTACTTGTATGCTTTGGGTCATTGTCCTGTTGCATCACCCATCCTCTGCGGAGCTTCAGTTGGCGGACAGATGGTCGTACGTTTTCCTGCAAAATGTCTTGATAAACTTTGGAATTCATTTTCCCATCAATGACAACAATCCGTCCAGGCCCTGAGGCAGCAAAGCAGCCCCAAACCATGATGCTCCCTCCGCCATGTTTTACAGTGGGGATGAGGTTTTGATGTTGGTGTGCTGTGCCTTTTTTTCTCCACACATAGTGTTATGTGTTCTTCCCAAACAACTCAATCTTGGTTTCATCTGTCCTCAGTATATTTTGCCAGTAGTGCTGTGGAACATCCAGGTGCTCTTTTGCAAACTTCAAACGTGCTGCAATATTCTTTTTGGACAGCAATGGCTTCCTCCGTGGTGTCCTCCCATGTACTCCATTCTTGTTTAATGTTTTCCTTATTGTAGATGTGTCAACAAAAATGTTAGCATGTGCCAGAGATTTCTGTAGGTCTTTAGCTGACACTCTGGGATTCTTCTTTACCTCATTCAGCATTCTGCGTTGTGCACTTGCAGTCATTTTTACAGGACGACCACGCCTAGGGAGAGTAGCAACAGTGCTAATCTTTCTCCATTTGTAGACAGTCTGTCTTACCGTGGACACATGAACATCAAGGCTTTTGGAGATGCTTTTGTAACCCTTTCCAGCTTCATGCAAGTCAACAATTCTTGATCGTAGGTCATCTGAGAGCCCTTTTCTGCGAGGCATGGTTCACATCAGACAGTGCTTCTTGAAACCAGTAAACCCAAAACAGGGGTGTGTTTTTTAAGGGCAGGACAGCTGTCAGCAACACATCCAATATCATCACACTGATTGGAGTCAAGGTTGGCTCACTCCTGGCTCCAATTAGCTCTGGGAGAAGTCATTAAGCTAGGGCCTCACAAACTTTTTCCTCCCTGCACTGTGAATGTTTACATGTTATGTGCAATTAAACCATGGCAACATCTAATGTTTGTGTAGTATTATGTTCAGCAGACTGTGTTCTTCTATTGTTGTGACTTAGATGACATTCAGAGCACATTTTATGCCCAATTCATGCAAAACTCCACGTAATCCCAAGGGGTTCACATACTTTTTCTTGCAACTGTATGTGCAATAGCTGTTGCAAGAAGCTGCTATTCAAATAACATACATAACACTAATGCAATATAGTAGCCAACAATTTATGTACCTGTCTTTTTTTTTTTTTCTCTGGATTTCTAAAGGATTGCTACATTTGTACAAATGGCTACATGCTGTAAGGACACAGTGCTACAGCAGTTTTCTATTGTGGTTCAGATTAAAGTCAAACAGTAGCTGATACTTAGTATCCGTTGTTCCTTGTTGAACAGAGCCCTGTGTGGCTGTTTCCCTTTGCATTAACTGGCTACAATACATGCTGCAAGCACACAGAGCTCTATGGCAGTTGTTCTTGGTGGAGGGAATTGAATTAAAGCATTGTAACATTTATTTTTTAAATACAAATATTTTATATTTGCTTTCTATGTGCAATGGTATTACAGACAGTGGCCCTGATTCTCCTCTTCTGTGATCCCTTGCTGGAGCTTTCAGCTCCTCCTCTTCTTTTGGGGCATGTCCTAGAGATTAATTTATTACCTAAATCATATCTAGCCCCAAGAAACATAATTTTAAAGCTGAATTCCAGGTATTCAGTCACTTTGTAAACTGTGAAGGCACCTTATGAGTTAAGTCCAAGGAGGTGCATGACAGGTTGCATCTGACAGGTTTATTGCTGTGCTGGAAAGACACTCCTGGGATCTGAGAGGAGATAAACACACAAAGCAGCTATACCCACCCCTCCCATCTGCTGTCTATTCACAGAAGTCTTTGTGTTTTGTGAATTAGTTCAATATAATACAAAGGCTTTTGTGATTGTGCAGTCATTGCAGCTACAGTATCTCTACTGTTGAAGATGCTCAGATCAGAAAGATCAGCATTGGGCTTTCAGAAATACAGTGATAGCTGTCTTCCAGGAGTACCATAGACCCGTGAGATATAAATAATAGAGATAAGGCCAGGAGATGTCATGCATCTTGTTGGACTTGACAAATAATGTGCCTTCACTTTTTACAAAGGAGCAAAATTTCTCTTTCAGCTTTCATGTATTGCAGCTTACCAATCGTAATATGTGGTGGCTGCATTAGTTGTTTTTATTTAGGCCTTTTCATTTATTTTCACCTAGTAATTCTGCCAATAACATTCTATGTTCTCGGATGAAAACACTTACTGATTGCACTGTATCTATGGAGGAGCAGTGTTATCATCCCAGAAGTTCACAAGATTGCAGCTTGCCGTCCTTCCCTTTTTTTTTTTTTTTCTTCACTGCAATGCATTGCACTGCTTTGTATTAGTGTAAACTATGCCCTGGATAACCCGGATTTTGGGCTATCTAGAAGGAATCCATTCAAAAACACATCCCACTGCACTTGGTGTGAATGGGCCCTTACATAGAGTGGAGGTGTTTTTCAGTCAACAAAAGATGGCTGAGAAAACCGATGACATTCTTTTTAGTCCACAGGAAGTTGAAATGGCACATATTTTCTGATGGGATTGACAGGTATTTTTTTTTTTTTGTGCTTGTAGTCTGGGAGCTGACATTTACTTATGAGCATGTGACACTCAAATGTACACAACAAATAGGTCAAGGCCAAATAATATGGTACAGGTATTGGCTGATTTCCAGCTTCTGTAAAGGGTTGTTCTGATGTCTATTATTGATAAAGTTTGTAAGCGTAAAGGGGAACTAGAGTTCACTATACTTGCCTCCCCTCCCGTGATACCTGCTAGCGATTTTTTTTATTTTTTTTTATGAGGTTCTGCTTAAAGAATATGTTACTCCAACACTTCATATTCCTGATATGTGTCTGTTGTACCATGTTCTTTTATGGAAAAGTATCCTGTTCTCTCATGCAGGCAAAACATGGGCCTCATACAGGTGTACGCTTAGGTATGCCCGTGTGAAGAAGGCTTCAGAGAAGTTGAGCTCCTTCTGCACTGTTTTTATCTGATGTGCCATTTAGGCAAGCTGAAGATCAGGCGGTGTGGGAGCCTGCTGCTAAACCCCACACCACACATTCCTATTTTCCATGACTATGATGGGCAACCTCGCTGGCAAATATGAACGTGCAGAGGTCAGGAATGTGGTGGGCCATGGGGCAGGTATGCGCAGGCACCTCTAGACACATGCTGCATTCTCCACCCTGTAACTCCCTCTAAATGGAGCCTTTGGTTGCCTGCTGCTATTGCTTGCTTCATCTTCTGAAAATGCTAGTTGTCTGGCTATCATGCGGGATCCAGTGTCTAATACTTTCTTAGGCACTGATCTTGACCAATTATGCAGAGCAATTGGTTGTACTTGCTGATCTGGGAAAAGCATGCCGATTTAAAAAGCTAGCAATTTTAAAAGACTGTCAACAAAGACAGGCCCAAGACTTCTTTCATTACAGTTTTTCTTTCAAGTTTGAGCCTGATTGGTAGTTGTGGGAAAATAAATTAGTGTGATACAGATATGATGGTAATCACATTTTATTTTGGGAAAGAAAACTCCCTAAGCTCTTTTTTTATTTTGCAGGTTGGCTTTTATGTGAAGCGTGGATGTCAGAAAGGCATGGTGGAGCTCGAATTGTAAGATTTGTTTTTTTATAGATACATTTGGATGTGTGTTAATGCAGGGAACTCATATAGTCCAGCATTACTTGGGTTTGAAGTGAACCTGTGAATAAATCATAAGTAATAAACCAACAGCAGCAGTTTAGATGTTTTAAACTGTCAGCAAATACTTGTTGATGCCAATAGATGCAGTCCAGTGTCACTGGAAAACTGGCATAAGGAAAAATAAAAGTACCTTTCTTACTTTAATACATAAGAATAGGCACCCCCACAGAACACAACAGTACAAATACCCCCAAAATAAAGAAGACAGTTCAAGGTAATAGGCATGGCAAGTTTTTTTGAAGTAGTAATTCTTTGTTACAAAATTTTGGAAAATGAAGTTAAAAAATTGTTTTAGTCACATTTTCATCAATAATTTTTTTTATTAAATTTATTCAAATTGTTTTCTTTTTTATTACAATTTTGTTTGCTTTTTCTCTCTCTCTCTCTCTCCCATAACAAAGCCTACTGGCTTTGCTGATCACTGCTCTAAGTGAATCTATTCTGACCAAAAAGTACATTGGGTTAGGTTACATCTTGGAGTGCCTGCTAATACTGCTTTAGTATTCAAATTGATCTAGATATCCCTTTGGAGACCATTGGATCCTATGCCTAGGGCTTTTTAACTGCCAATGTCAGAGCCTCTGTTGACCACTGATGGTTTAACACTTCATAGCGGAGTTATAGTGGCTGGGTAATAGCATCAGGAGGTGATAGGGCTTAATATTGACTTGAAAAGAAGATGAGATCCTGAGTATTACCTTGGCCTATGGTCCATTGAGTTCCACAAATGCATAGGGTTTGATCTGAAGATGAACATATGTAGCACCTTGGTAATGTTGCTGCCTTAGCCACTTTTTGTTGCAGTTCAGGCTTCTCTTAATGCCTAAAGCTGGGCATACACTACTGAAATTGTCGGCACCTCCCAGCTCGAAAAAAAGTTGATTTTTAAATCAACTTTTGTTGGAGTCTGTCTGAAAATTTTTTGCCGAACAGCACTGCTCAGGTATTCAGCAACCTATAGAGCAGTGACTGCTGAATATATTAGCCTGGCAGGTGCTGTTTCTTTATACACAGTACTTGGTATGCATTGATTTCACTCATTAAGCCCCATGGCTGTGTGGTCAGCTTAACTTGCCTACAACAGTGGTTGATATGATTCACATTTTTTCTGTTTATGTGAATCTTTTTTGACTGTTTCCTTCATGTACAAAGAAAAACATCACATCTGTGAGTTGCAGCCTTTCAAACTTGCTGTGGTAGAGGTGCAGTATTTGTGGGCTATTAAAATAAAACTTTTTTTTTTTTTTCTTTGTTCATTTTTGATAGAGCAAGGGAGGGTTATAACTCCTGTCAGTTTTTTTTTTTTCACCATCTGTGTCCACAGCAGAGATTTCCATTCATGTCCTGTCCCATAGCCACACAGGAAGCGAGAGGAAATTCCTGCAAATTAAGGGAATTTCTTGGGGATCCCCAGGTCACTAAAACTAGTGTCCCTATTTGACATATTCCCTCTACTTTTCTGGGGACAACCCAAAATATGTGATTTTCTTTTAATTTCTTTTTGCTTTTAACCACTTGCTAACCGTGCTATAGCCGGTTGTCCAGTTCCGGGAGGGCATCAGATGACGTCCTCCCAGAACGCGCCCTCCCGTGCGACCCCAGGGGCGCGCTCCTGGCGATCTCCATGATTGCTGTGTCCTAAGGACACAGCTGATCATGTGATGTGGTAAAAGGCCAATCACAGTGGGATCAGCTGTGTCCACTGACACAGCAGATCAGCAGTAAATGCCGTTGCCGGTTAACGGCTGCACTTTCCTCACACTGTCACAGCATGAGTAAAGTACTGCCGATAACTGGCAATTGTCAGAGGATGGATCGGCACCTGATGATCAGTGCCCACCAGTGCAGCCCACCTGTGCCCAGCACTGCCACCCACCCACCAGTGCTCAGCAGTGCCCTTAATCAGTGCTGCCCTTCAGTGCCGTCTATCAGTGCCCATCGTTGCATATCAGTGCCAGCTCATTAGTGCCACCTATCAGTGCAGCCTCATCAACGCACATCCGTGAAGGGGAAAAATTACCTGTTTGCAAAATTTTGTAATAGAAACAAAGAAAAACTTTTTTTTTTTAAATAATTTTTTGCTCCTTTTTTGTTTATAACGCAAAAAATAAAACATCCAGTGGGATTAAATACCACCAAAAGAAAGCTCTATTTGTGTGAAGAAAATGATAAAAATTTCATATGGGTACAGTGTTGCATGACCATGTAATTGTCATTCAAATTGCGACAGCGCTGAAAATTTGGCCTGGGCAGAAACGGGGTAGGCAAGTGATTAATGATCATGGTAAACAGAACAAATAAGAGAAGGTGAATCTCTGTAATGGGGACTCGAACAGCAATACAAACTGACAGGTGTTCTAATCCATCTCCAATCTATCCAAAACTAAAAAAAAGTTTTGCCTTTTTAAGACTGTTCGCTCACAGCTAGTTCAGAGCTTGGCAGTAACAACACTGGTTTCTATATAGTAATCATTGAAGTCCCTAAAGCAGGTGGGCATCTTAGTTCCACTGTTACTGTGGCATACTTTTTCTTGATTTGATGGCTATGCTGCGTTGATTACCAACCATCTATCTGGAGAGACTACCTTTTTACTAACCACTGAGGCAGTCTCCTTTAACTCAGGAACACTGGCAAGGCTCAACAGTAACAGCAGGCATCTTGGAGTGTGGATTTTTACTTAAATTTCACTTTACGTTGAAATAGTATATTGTTTACAGATAAAACTCAATTCACTAAGCTGTAATTATTATTATTATACAGGATTTATATAGCGCTAACAGTTTGCTCAACGCTTTACAATAGAACGGGAGACAATACAGCAACAATACAGTTCAATACAAGAGGGAAAGGAGGACCCTGCTCCTTGGAGCTTACAATCTAGGAGTAATAGTAATTTTGCATAGAGACTGTTGTTTTCAACAAAGGAAATGGAAAAAAAAATATCTCATGGCTAGAAATAATCATTGTTATAGCAGACAACCTAGTTACAGTCAGAGTAATTGGAGAGGCATGTAGGTGTTGTATGATAAAATGGTGGTTACTGGAGAAGTGCATGAGTCCAGTGGAGGTCAATAGAAGAAGGTGTGTGGTCAAAGGGGCTGCTACTGGAAAGAAAAATATAGGTCTGGGGTGGCATGGGCTTTGAAGTTAGGGCCATCAGAATAGACACCTGCCTAGAAGAGAAAACTTCCTCTTCTCCCCATCTCTTTGTCATGTGTTATGGCAGGGGAGTCCTCATTTGGCACTCGAAGTACACCGTAGATCACTTGTTATGCCATTACCAAGGACAAAAGTCAGCAGTACATGTTTGCAACTCTCAGGTGCTAAGGGTCACAAGACCTGCTGCCACTCTGATAGGCCAGGAGGGGAGAGGGAGCTCAAAGCTAGATCTCCATCTCATTTCCTAGCTTTGTCATGTAGCGCTTACCCCGAAAGTAGCCACTGTGAATATGCCCAGGTCTCCCTTGCTAGTACAGAAGCTGCCGGCCACAAACACAGTTCCATGCACACCAATATTACTGGCTTAAGTTGCCAATACTTTATACAATTTCCCTGAAATGTAACTTTAACTCTGTAGTGCAAGGGTCTGCCTGATTGCTTACAAATTGAAAGTGTTTAGGTTTGACCTCATATTAAATGATTTTGTAAAAAACTATAAGAAAATTGTACAAGAAAATTGTATAATGTATGGCCAACCTTTAGCGTAGGATATAAACAATAATTATCTACCTGCACTTGTGCAATTTATTACCCCCTAGCTATCAAACACCCTCTAGTATCAATAACTTATAAATATTTTTGTATACTGCACTAATAAAAACTATTACCTTAATACATTATATGCAAATATAATCATCTTAGTGTCATAGTTAATCAATATACTCATACTCCACGTACCACAAATATCATGTGCTGCTTCCTTAAGCTGGCCATGGATGGATCGAATCTTGGCTGGTTTAGCAGGCTGATTGTACTGAAGTCAATTCATTAATCAACTATGGTAAAACTAGCCTGTTGGATTTTTGTTTTAATGCATTTACTGCCAGCAGCTGAAGCCACCAGCAGTTATCATTGTGTTTTTGCTGGCAAGGAAGGCCCGCCGCTGGCAGAACACAAACACGCAATCAGTGTTGATGGGGGAATCAAGCAATTTTCTCCACGAGTGGAAGGGGAAAAAAAAATTGCATAATCTTTGGGCTACTTTAAACTGCCATCCAGCTTCCGCACTTTTCAGTGAGGGAGACAAAAAAGATTGTCTAGACCAGAACTCCAGGGGAGTGCCCTCAAGCAATCTTTTTCTCCAGGACCTCAGTCCAGCACCAGCTGAGGCCCAAACTGAGGCACTGGTCCCACACTAGCTGCCTCCCAGGGGCCACAGCCCCAGGAAAACTGGAACCCTCCTAGCAGAGGAAGAACTCTCTGCTGTGGCCTCCCAATGATTTTATCATTTCTCCAAACACCTTTTAGATGCTCCCTTCAAGGGTTTGGCTGAGGCATGATAAATGTTCATGACTTTGACTCTTACAAAACAAACATAAAAAGAACCAAGGTGCTCAACCACTGTGGACAATTAAAACAAATAAGTCCCTAGTTGAGATCCTACTTGGGAATAGGAGAAAAAAAGAAAATAGCACACAATATTTCAGTTCAAAGACTCGAAGAATTCCGGTGGTTTATGGAGCTGTGAGATTGCTGTTGTAACATGTAATGTTCATACTTGTGGACACATACCAAAGGGTTAAAATCAATCCAGAGCATAAGTTCAGAACAATCTCCACACTGTGCAGTTAGGATTGTAGAACACTTTCTCTAGCATCCGTGGTGTGCAGTATACACTGTGCATAAATTCAGAACACGGTGGGGATATATAGCAGAGGAGCACTGGTCCCGAACACTCAAACCTGCAGGTGCATGGTAATCTGCAATCCAAATTGAAGATGAAAGTAGCAGGGAATCCGGCTGGCTGAGACACCAGAACTGCCACGCTGGAGCAAGCAGATCAAAATTGCAGCACTGTGAAACCGTAAGTCTAGCAGACATTAATCCGGAGTCCCCAGCAGCCAAAAGCGTCTCTAGTCTCCAAATGACATAGACTGTGTCTCGAAACATGTAATCTTGAAGACCAGAGAAGATTGATGTCTGCTTGGAGACCTCCGGTTTCACAGTGTAGGAGTTCTGGTTCGCTCGCTTTGGCATGACAGTTCTGGTGTCTCATCTGACCGGAATTCCTTGGTGCTTCCGCATTCTCTTCGGATTGTAGATTAACATACGCTTGGGTCAGGTGTTCAGGACCAGTGCCCCTCTGCTATGTATCCCCACCGTGTTCTGAATTTACGCACAGTGTATACTGCATACAGCTGCTGCCACAGTAAGCGCTCTACAATCCTAACTGCACAGTGTGGAGTTTGTTCCTAACTTGTGCTGTGGATTTATTTTAACACTTTATTGACTCCTGAAAAACAATTCCTTTAACCACCGCCCGCCATATAGTAATATGATGGACGCAAGGTGGTTCTCTCGTTCTGGGAGGACGTCATATGATGTCCTCCCATTCTCACCGCGCATGTGCGGCTCCCAGAGCGCACAGCGATCGGTGGTGCGCTGTGTCCCTAGGACACAGCGGATCACCGATCCACGGAAAGAGCCGAAGATGTCAGCTCAGTCATGTGATCAGCTGTGTCCAATCACAGCTGATCACATGTAAACGGGGAAATGCCGTTTATCGGCATTTCTCTCTTCTCGAGCTGTCACGCTGAGGTGCTGAGGAGAGACGCTAATCGGCATTCCGCGGAGGGGACATCTACACTGATCATCAGAGCACTGATGATCAGTGTGCCTTGATGATCAGTGTAGCCCCATCAGTGCCAGCTGTCAGTGCTCATCAGTGCCAGTGCCTACCAGTGCACATCAATGCCACATATCAGTGCCCATCTGAGCTGCCTTTCAGTGTCACCCATCAGTGCCAGTCAGTGCCACCTAACACTGCCAGTCAGTGCCGCCTATCAGTGCTGTCTTTCAGTGCCCATCAGTGATGCCTGTCAATGCCCATCAGTGCCACCTACCAGTGCCTCCTCATCATCAGTGCCACCTATCAGTGCCCATCACTGCAGCCTCATTAGCGCACATCAGTGAAGGAGAAAAGTCATTTATTTACAAAAACTAAGAAAAAACTTTTTTTTTTCAAAATTTTCAGTGGTTTTTGGTTTAAGAAAAAATAAAAAACCCAGAGTTGATTAAATAGCAACAAAATAAAGCTCTATCTGTCACAAAAAATGATACAAATTTCATATGGGTACAGTGTTGCATGACCGCGCAATTATCATTCAAAGTGCAACAGCGCTGGAAATTGGCCTGGGCAGGAAGGGGGTATAAGTGCCCTGTAGGCTTGAGGTTAATATGTCAATGATATTTGGACAATTTGTTCCCAAGTTAGAACATTACATGTTAGAACAGAAAACGCATAACTTCATAAACCATGGGCAGCCTTTGAGTCTCTTTGTGCTGAGATATTGTATATAACTTTGACTCTTCCTGCCCTATATTTTGGATGCTTCTCTAAGAAGCACATAGGTGAAATCAAACACCCAGTTTAGAAAGCTCTGACCAGACAAAAATAATGGATCACTACTCCACTGGCTACAGTGAAGTCAACAACTAAATTTAGCCTAACTAAAGGAGGGCACTACCTCATTAACAGTAACTATAGGATAAGGCTTTCAACAGTTAAAGCTGAACTCCAAGGAAAATAAAAACCCTTGCAGTTGAGATCCCTCTGCACAGCAAGGGTTAAATACTAATTTTTGCCTTGGGTACCAGGACAAAGGACATTTTATATTGTTGGTGAATTGAGCATACAGTGTTATAAGTGCGTGTACTTTAAGGTACCCTTTAAATGTCATGTGCTTGTAAATGCATTTTTATTTATAAGGTCTATTCATAAAGCTAAGTTTTCGCTGTTCAATGAGTATTACTTGTTACACTAGGTACAAATCATCTGGGAATCTGATCCTAATGCGTGAAATTCAAGTATCAAATAACCAGTCAACATGGTACATCAATGGAAGGAGTGCCTCCTTAAAGTTGGTTGAAGAGCAGGTAGCTGCATTGAATATTCAAGTAGGAAATCTTTGTCAGTTTCTGCCACAGGTATGTAAATGATAACGAGGTGCCCTTGTGCAAAAAAAAAAAAAATCTTCAACTATGTCTATTCTAGGATGGTATATGCCTTGCATGATATTTTAGCAAAAGTGTTAACATTGATAATGCTTTGTGGATCTTGATAGGTCATTGAGAAAAAAGGTGGTAAATGGCAATTATATATGCATATATTGATTTAAAAAAAAATTAATAAAGCAGAACCAAACCCAACGATTTATCTGTTTCCCAAAACCGGTAAATTGCAGACATGCAATGAATGATAACTGTCACAGCTGCTTTTATTATTTATTCAACCAAACTGTCAAGCCCTCAAATGGTTGGTGTCATAAGTGGTCACTGTGCAGCATCATGATAACTGAAATAGAAGCTAAGATGGCAGTGCCCTTGGCTGTAAAGGAGAGGAGGGTTTTATTCTGCTTTAGTTTATAATGACATTTTACCAGATATGTCTTTAATAAATAAATGGCTGTGGTCTGTGATTTCTTAATTGTGATTTTTATCAATGTTCATTTTTATTTTAGGATAAAGTTGGAGAATTTGCCAAACTATCTAAAACTGAACTCTTGGAAGCAACAGAGAAGTCTGTTGGACCTCCAGAAATGCATCGATTTCACTGTGAACTAAAAAACTGCAGAGAAAAGGAAAAAGAACTTGAGGTACTTTTTGAGCATGAGATATTTTATGTGGATACAAATGATACATACTAAATTTGCAGGCTTAGCTTGTTAGGCTTCAATTAAAGCGCAAGAAAAGAAAAAAGGAAGCCCCTTACACAACGGTAATTAACATCTCTTCCCACCCGACCAATTGTAATATGATGGCCAGACAGGAGGTCCCTCATTCTGGGTAGATGTCATATGACATACTCCCAATAATGTGCCTTGCATCGTGCTGTGGCTTGGTCTGTCACTGCGGTGTCTGGTGGATGACAGATCAGTGTACCTGACCACTGCTGGTACCATGTGATTGCTGGGACCAATCACAGCCGGTCATATGTCAATTGTACACAATGGATGGCTTCCATTCATAGCCATTCATTGTGTACTATTATGTTGCTCGCTGTAATTGGTCACAGTGATAACTTGCTACAGCCTGGGTCAATCACAGCCCATCTGTACCGTGTGATTAGCTGTGGCCAATCACTGCTAATCACAACAATGCACAATTTATGGATTCATGCACAACAAATGGTTGCCTGTAACAGTGATTATCACTGTTATAAGCGATCATGGTGTGTGTGTGTGCATGTGTAAAACAAAAAAAGAAAGGTAAACAAAATGTAATAAAAAAAGAACAATTGTAAAAAAATAAAAAAAAAATTGTAACAAAAAATTACTACTTCAAAAAACTTGCCATGCTTGCATTCAATGTAGAACCAACAGCATTGTAGATCAGCTGACAGGATCCACAGGTAATAATAAAACTATATTACAGGAGGGAATTTGTTACGTTAATGCTAGTGACAGACTGCATCATACAGTATGTCATTTGTATATGTCCCAATAGTTCCAGTTTAAACTCCTAGTGAAAGCAGGATTAAAGTGTAAAGCTTAGATCCAGCTCTGCAGTCAGTCATGCTGAAATGGACTGTTTCTTAGTGGAGGAACTGTAGATGCACCTTTTAAAATGAGTGTCTATAGAAGGACTTACTGTAACAACAATTCCAATTCAGAGCAGCTCAGTAGAGACCTGAACAGGTTTTATTTAAATACCCAAAGCTTACTGAGGGTTTATATATACTTGTATGAGTTTTTGTTTTGTCCTTACGTCTTCTTTCTGCAAATTCCCAGCAAAATGCCTGAAAATCCATGTAGTGTGAATGAGTCCAAGTCTTGTATCCTTGCAAAGCTTTTTTTAGATAGGGAAAACAATGTCTAAAATAGTGGCAATTTCAATAGCTCCCAATGACTTATGCAAATGTTTTGAATTCTACAGAATAAATGTAAAGGCCATGAAGAGGTTTTGGAAAAATTGAAGCAAGGGAATGAACGTTACAAGCAGGATGTTGAGCGATATTATGAAAGGAAGCGTCACCTTGACAAAATCAAGATGCTGGAGAGGAAACGGCCTTGGGTGGTAAGATTCCCATTTGATTTAAATTTGTTGTTGACTGTGCTTTTCATACATGATTAAAAATATAAATGCATGAAATTGATTGTAGTTGTAGTCTTTTTGTCCTGTTGTACTGTGCTCAAAACTATACTTTGCCTTTATATTTTTAATTGGGGAACCTTATATTTAAGTGGGGAAACCTGTACTGGTGGCAACTATGTAAGATGGGTCTTCCCTCTTTTTAGAGAGGTTTTCTTATTAAAGTGGTTATAAAGCCTAAACAATTTTTACCTTAATGCATTCCTTGCATTAAGGTAAAAAATGTTTAGGCATCAAAATTCAGTATCCCCCCCCCCCCCCTCCTCTACTCACCTGAGCCTGCATTCGATCCATCACTGTGCATGCCTGCAGCTCTTCTCTCCCCTTACTTATTGGTCTCACTGTTTTGCTGAGGCAGCGGGATCTGTCAATCAAAGCTAGTGCAAGGGAGTGGGTGGTGGGTTCGAGTCCTGCTGTCTGCGACAAGAGATGCAGACAGTGAGGCTCAGGAGTGAGCTTGCACCTAGTGTCCCCATAGAAAGTGGCTCTCTATGGGTGCTCTCAGAGGAGGGGAGGAGCCAGGTGCGCTGACAGGGTACCCGAGAAGAGTAGGTTCGGGGCTCTCTGTGCAATTCCATTGCACAGAGCAGGTAAGTATAAACCTGTGTTTTTCTGTAAACAAAGCATTTACAATCCCTTTAAATCCTGCTGTGTTTCTGGGACAGGAAGTAAAAATAAACCGGACACAATAAAATAGAACTATAGGCAAAGCTTTTTTTTTCATTTGGAATAGAGCAAGGGAGGGTTATAACACTTGTCAGATTTTTTTTTTTTTTTTTTTTTTTGCCATCGATGTCCCTTTGTGGAGATTTCCCTTTATTTCCTGTCCCATAACCAAACAGGAAGTGAGAGAAAATTCCTGCAAATTAAGGAAATTCCTTGAGGACCCCCAGGTCACCAGAACTAGTGTCCCCATTGGAAGATTTCCCCTCCTATTATTTTTCAGGGACAACACAAAATTTGGAATTTTCTTTCACTTTCAGTGATAATGGTAAACAGGACAAAGAAACAGGGTGAATCTCCCTAATGGGATGCAGACCGCAAAAAAAACTGACAGGTGTTCTAATTCCTCTCCGCTCTGTCCAAAACTAAAAAAAAAAAAAAGTTTTGCCTTTAGTTATAGTTTAAAGTGTAATGCCACTAAAAAATGAAAATTTGACCATGATTGCTAGGTCACATAACATGAAATTTGATATTATCCATTTTGTGGATTGCTGATTGTCTAGATTAGAAACCGTAGTCTAAGCTAGACAATCAGCAGTCTCTTGTACTGTAAGCATTCCAGCAGAGCTCCAAGTAGCCCTGCCCTCATCCCTCCTGGTCATCCGCACCATGTTCTGCAACTAATGAGTCCCAGTAATGATGATCCTAAGGTGACAGGAGACATGCCTAGCAGCTACTATGGTAAACTAAACCCCGAAGGTTAAAGGTCACGTGACAGGCAGACTTTAAAAAAAAAAATAAAAATATTAAGTGTATTCCAAAAATTTTAAAAAAATGTTGATTTTATACCATTGTGGGTGATAATTGTCTAGCGATGAATCAACTTTCCTTCCACTTTAACCGTGTTCTGTTTAAACAAACTATTTGACTTTAAAATTCACTAAATTTTTTTCTAAAATTCAAAATGTAAAATATATTGTGGTATATTTTAGGAATTAATGTCATACTTTCCCTCATAAGGAATATGAAGATTGCCGTCAACAATATGAAGAAGTGAAGCAAAAACGTGATAAGTTAAAAGAAGAGCTTAAGAGAAAACAAGAATCTCAAGCACCTCTTACGCAAAAAATCCAGCAGTATGATAAGCAGCACAAGCAAATTGATGGACGAATTAAAGAAAAAGTAAGTTCCAGTAGATGAGGAAGCTTACAAACGTGGTAGCTTACAGAGTGCCCAAAGTCTTGGGATGGATGGGGGCATGGTGGTCTCCGTAGAGTTTCAGGGGCAGTAGGTGGGCACCTGGAGGTGCTTGTTATTTTTAACAACTGCCACTTCAGAGATGTTTCTCCCTCTGTTGATTTCCTTTGCAGTTAAGCTGTATTAAGTTTTTAGAAACATAAGCAAAATGTTTGCCTAGGAGCTGATACAACAATACACTGTTGTTATCTATATTCACCAGGAAAACATCTGTACACCTTCCTGATGTAGTTTTGCTTATACAACTGCCTTACTTTCACTGGAAGGAATTTCAGTCCCTTGTTTAATGAGTGAGTTAATGGACCCTGAGGCATTCTCATTGGTCAGTGGAATATTCCTGACAGGGCTTAGCCATTAAGGTAGCGCAAGTCTCAGTAGTGAAGTAAAATTAAATCAAAGAAGGGCACAGGAAGTAGCTTTTCTGGCTAATGAATGTGATAACAGACATCTTGTGAATTCTACTCTTAGGTAGGACTTTACCTTTTTTATAGCTTTAAAACAGAGCATTCAGGCCCCATTCATGTGTGGGTCATGTGAATGCTTGTTTTTCCATGCTTTTGTTGCGTGTTTTTACTTGAATGGACTGCCATGCATGTGACCAACATGCCAAAAGAAGCTCCTGCACCTTTTTGGGCGTTGAGCTTTGCATGTTTTTTTACCATGTTGTGGACTGTGTTTGAGGTGCCATTAACAATCAACGGCACCGCAAGCACGATGCAAACTTTTTGCATGTTCCAGGAATGTGCAGATGTGAGTACAGCCTTAAAGTATAGCTAAAGGAAAAACTTTTTTTGTTTTGGATAGATTGCCAGAGGGATTATAAACTAGTGATGCACCAATTAATGGGCTGAAAATAGGGTTATCAGCTTTTTGAACTTCAGTTCAAAAGCGCGTCCCATTGATTTCAGTGCAAAAATGCGTCCCATTGACTTGACTTCAATGCATACTCGCATCCCATTGACTTGACCTCAATGAATACTCTCGTTCCATTGACTTCAATGCATAATCGCGTCCCATCGACTTCAATGCATAATCACGTCCCATCGGCTTCAATGCATAATCACGTCCCATCGACTTCAATGCATAATCACGTCCCATTGACTTCAATGCATAATTACGTCCCATCGACTTCAATGCATAATTACGTCCCATTGACTTCAATGCATAATCATGTCCCATTGACTTCAATGCATAATCACGTCCCATCGACTTCAATGCATAATCACGTCCCATCGACTTCAATGCATAATCACATCTCATCGACTTCAATGCATAATCACATCCCATCGACTTCAATGCATAATCACGTCCCATCGACTTCAATGCATAATCACGTCCCATCGATTTCAATGCATAATCACGTCCCATTGACTTCAATGCATAATCACGTCCCATTGACTTCAATGCATAATCACGTCCCATTGATTTCAATGCATAATCACGTCCCATTGACTTCAATGCATAATCAGTCCCATTGACTTCAATGCATAATCACGTCCCATTGACTTAAGTTCTAAAAAGCCACCCATTGACCTTCAATGTAAAAACGCAGCCCATTGACTTCAGTGACGTTAAATCCACCTTTTGAGTTTTTTGACTGCGCAGGATGGAAAATGTTTCTTCAACAAATTATGCTATAACTTTGAATGTGTTTTTTGTTCACGAAAAATTGCATATATTGTAATGAAACCTGTTTAAATACATCTGCTATTCCATTCAGACAACAGGTTTGGACAAAATTTTAAGGGTTTTTGAATGCGATTAGTTAAACTGGAACTTCAATCAATATTGACTATTTTTTAGGGGTGCACCGAAATTTTGGAGGCCGAAAACACTCCTATTGGCCATTGGCCAATATGAAAATAAGCCCCGATACAGGTGCCGAAATAATCCTGCCCCCTCGGCGCCGCTGCCGCCACCCTCCGCCGCCACTCTCCGCCGCTCGGTGGTTCTCAGCCTTAATTGAGAAAACACCGAACGATCCTGGCACTGGAGATAGAGACAAGTGACGGAAAGATGACCTCCACTGATCTCTATGCCCTTGGAGGACTGGAGCGATGTCCGTTATGGCTCCTGCTCCTTGTTAACAAGGTTATTTTTTTATAAAGCACTAGATCAATGCTTTTTTTTTTTTTTTTATATAATGCTTTACATTGTGAGGAGAGATGTGGGGTCTTATTGACCCCATATCTCTCCATAAAGACCTGTCACTATTTCTATGACAGGGGATGCATGCATTCCTTGTGATAGGAATAAAACTGATTAAATTTTTTTTTTTAAAGGGACAGTGTAAAAAAAAAAAAAAAAAAAAAAAGGGAGTATTTGACACACAAGTTTTTTTGCCTGAATGCATAGAATGCATTCAAGTAAAAAAAATCTTGAAGCTTTAGATCTACTTTAACTCAATGATGGCCATAAAGAATGTTCTGACAAATGATTTTTTAGGAACATTTGAATGAAAATCTTACCTTGTGTGGCCACTTTTAAACTAAAAAAATAACTAAGTTGATTTAGGACAGCCTTTCTACACCTTCCCAACACAGTGGAACCCTTGAAATAACCTTTCAGTCTCGAACAACCGATGATACATTAGTGAGATGGTCAGTGGGAAGAATGCTCCTTACACTTGTGGTCACTAGAAAGATGTAACCCCTTGTAGATGGATAAAAAGATCATTGTCAGTGTCAGTGGGAACTTATCTGAGAGGTAAAAATTGCTCAAGGAACACCTAGCAACCTCTGGAGGTTGAGAAACCCTGATTGAAGACCTATACAGTTTGAAGATAGTTGAATGTGTTGTAATGGCTCATATCAAGATGACCAATTGCTAGTAGTAATTAAAGTTTATTATAACATTTTACAGAATGTTTTATTGTTTTAACAGGTGAGTGAAATTCGTGAAACTTCACAGAAGTGCAAACAGACACAAGAATTTTTGGAAAAGAAAGAAAAGCAGGTTTGTATTTTAATGCAGGTCTCTAAGTATCACAAATGATGGGTGGGGCTCCCATGTCCTTGTTGCTATCCTGCTTCTAAAATTGTCGCGATACTTCTGTCCAGTTTAGGTTTTTATATACTATCTTGTTAATACTACCTCTTTGCTGTGTGTACAAAAAGTGTTGTGTACAAGTTGCCTATTTTCCAGATATTTGACCAACACAACTTTTTGCCTTTCTTGTTTAATGGAAAGTTTCATTTCACAGCTTTTTGTTTTATTACATAATTAAAGTGGCTTATCGTTTACATGAGTATTTCCTTTACTTGCTATTAGCTCATGTGGTTTGTTGTCTTTAATATTATGGAACAGATAGAAGATGTTCAACAAAAGCTGAGAATGAAGAGAGATGAAGAACAGGACAGACAGAAAAAGATTGTTAACATTCGTAAGATGATTGAAGATTGGCAAAATGAGTTGAGCTCAATGGGGAATCTAGAGGCATTTCAGCAGGAGATGGATGTGATTGGTCGTGAACTGACTCAAATTCAGGAAGAAAAAGCAAACACAGAAAATGAAATGAGTGACTTGCGTATGGAGAGGCAAAACATGGAGAGAGAAAAGAGAGGTGACCTTGGATTAGTTATTTCCATTTTTATGTGCTAAACATGAATATAATTTTTTTTTTCGCTTTCTTATTTCTACGTTAAGTGCATAACAGCAGTTTTACATGTTGGGTACCCATTTGCTTCTAATATCTCAAATGCTCATAGCTAAGACCAGCTATTTCAGAAAGCTTTGTCGTAAATACGTTGAGTATTTATCTTTGCTGAAATCATGTCAGTTAGGGCTCTTTCACACTGGCGGCAAGGGTCCAGTAAAAACAAGTGGCTGAGCTATGGTTTTACTGCCCCAGCCACCCACTGGAATTCTAATATTACAGTTTGACAAAGCTTATACACATGCTGTGGCAATCTTAACTTGGACTGCAGAATTTGACAGACTGTCACCTGTCAGACTCGGCCATTGAGTTCAATGGGGCCACACCACAACTTCGAGCCAAATACTTTGCTTGCAGTTGCGTTGTGATCCTACATTGTAAAAAAATAAATAAATAAAAAAGGTAAAAACATTAAAAATGGATGAAGCCAGCAAATTAAACATAATCCATCATTCTGCTAAAACAGGGCACATACTGTGATTAATCTGTGATGCATTTAACCCCAAGCAGCACTTATTCATAGAGTAATGTTTTGTTTTTCTGTAGTTCTTTAAAATATATATATTTTTTTTTTTTTTACATTAATACGCATTTTTACTTTTCACAGACAAAGGTAATCTTCTTAAGCAGCATGATAATTTACTGAATCTAAAAGAACAAAACCTGCAAAAGAAATTTTCAGACACTTACAATGCAGTTGTTTGGCTTAAAGAGAATAAAGATCGGTTCAAGAAACGTGTCTGTTTTCCCATTATGTTAGAGGTCAGTCCATTTCAGAAAATGTTTGCAATATACTTTCTCATGCTAAGCATCTCTGAGTAAAATCTACCAAGCTTTGTTCAGACAAGGGATTCAAGAAAAACCTTTTAACATCATAGTTCAGCCAAATGTGCAAGCAGTTCTGGAATTTTACCCTTAGAAGCATGATCACAACTTTTTAAAGTACTACTAAAAGCTCCTATAAGTACCAGATCTGCTTTCTATGTCGCACACAAGCCTCGTAAATCAAAATCATCCTTTATCGTCTATCTCCTCTGACTTGATCAAATCCTCCTTATTGTGTCTCACATAGCCCCCTGCATGTCTTGGCTTATCAGAAAATGATAGGCACTGCTAGGTGTGACCAGCTGGATTGGCAAAATAAAGGTTTTTCAATGAGTAGTGATACCCCCCCCCCAAAAAAAAATAACCCCTTTTTGGAAAGTAGACACTTCAAGGTATTTAGTAGGAGGCATGGTGAATTTTTAAAAGCCTACCCCCCCACCATTTATTTATTTATTTTTACTTACTGTCACCAGTGCAGTGCCATGTCATCATGTGACTGGTGTGGCAGTGTTTTTTTTTTTACATACTATGACCTGAGCACTACAGTGTTACCATAGTGCCATAGTGCCAATGTAATGCTTTGAGGAGGTATCAAGATTTTTTTTTTTTTTTTTTTTTTTTTTTTTTATAGTATGATTGCTTATTACAGTGATTATCACGGTAATAAGAAATAATTTTTAAGGATGGCATCCATTCATGTACTATTGTGTTAGCTGCGATTGGCCACAGCTATCACATGGTACAGGTCCGCTGTGATTGTCCCTGTCTGTACCATGTGATCACTGTGACCAATCACAGAGATAACAATGATCACAATTGTACACAATGAATGGCTATGAATGAAAGTTATTGTGTACATTTGATATGTGATCGCTGTGATTGGTCACAGCGATCACATGGTACCAGAGCTGGCCTGGTACAATTATCTGTCTTCCTCTGTGTCCTGTGGACAGATGCGGTGGCAGATCGCGGTTCTGCATGGCCTCTAGGATGTGCACAAAGTGCTTGCTCGACTGGGAGGACATCTACCTAGAAAAAGGAAGCTCCTGCCTGGCCTGCGATAGGCTGGGCAGGAGGTGGTTAAGTGCTGCAGTGCTTTTAAGTGCTTTTTTATTTAATAAGAGGCCATAGTTCTCTATGAAGAAAATCTTCACTACACACTTTATGTACAGGCACTGATGCTGTACTCAGGACAAACACAGAAAGCAATCGTTTGAGAGCAAGAAGTAATTGATGATGCATATCTGCCCTTTCAAGCACCACTGAATGGTGGCTACATGTGGCTACAGGACTTTGCTATACTGTTTAATATTATCTAATTTAGGGGGACAAAACCCTTAGTTTTGTGCTTCCAAATTAAGAGAAGAAACAGAATTCATGTCTTGTGGAAAACATTGAAGGGGGAGAGCTTCTTGATAGTTGGGAGGGAGGGCTTCTTGATAGTTGAAGTAGCTTTTTTGGCTATACTTCTGTAGGTCATAGAAGTACAGTTTATTCTGCATTTCTGTGACCCATTTTCAGCTGACAGCTGAAACAACGGTGTTTGATCATTCAGTTCTCACTGCAATGTCGGTGGGGGACAGATGCAGCTTTGGATCGATGCTGCATTCGCCTAGGTGAGTATAAATGTGGGGGTTTTTTTTGTTGTTTTTTTTTTTTTGGAAACACTCAAGTGAATATACATTTTTCTTTTTAAATGAGCACTAGAGCATATGTGTTTGCAGTTGATAATTCACGACTATTTATTTATTTTTTCTCACTACAGATTAATGTGAAAAATAATAGGTATGCAAAATATGTGGAAAATCACATTTCAGTAAATGACATGAAAGCCTTTGTGTTTGAAAGCCAAGAGGATATGGAGGCTTTTTTGAAAGAGGTAAGTGTTTTTTTTATGTTCGTCGTTGCTCTTGTACGTGATCATATGCTGCCCAAATAAATCCACAGTATTTGACTTATTAGTGACAGTTTTTTTTTTTAATTGTCTTGGAAAGGTTGACACCTCTGTCTGGTTTTATGTCCCATAAGTGAATCCTTTCCTTCACTTTTAGGCTTGGTGGCAATCATTGCATTGCTTTCAGTAGAGCATCTTTTACCCCCATCTTAAAGTGGCATTAAACCCAAAAGCAAACATTTATTATTTTGCACATTACCATTTCTTAGATGTGATGGCTGCATTATTTTTCTTTTTCTAGGATCTTTTTCTTCTATTTTCAGCTGGTGATCCCATTCACACCCCCCCCCATTACCCTTCCCTTCCCAGCACAAACGCCCCACCCATTCCTTCACAAGCCCCTCCACCCCCCTTTCAATCTTACAGGCTGAAACTACAGGAGTAGTGAGCAGGCTCTGGAGAAAAGGTGCAGAAGAAAAACATGCGGTCCAATAGAACCCAAACGCGTGACTTAAACCTGTCCCTCACTAAAATCATCAATCATAAATCAAGTGTGAAACATAAATGTCCATATAGTACCATCATACATGCTAATGGAAAGAGTATCACAAATATTTTTCTCCTTATACGGGTGCTCCAGTGTTAGTGCAAGTGGTGAGTGTAAATCCTAAACAGCCAGCATGCCCGTTACACACTTGTTTTTTTTTACCTTCCTGCATTCTATGCAGTAAAGTAAAAAACCTGCATGCAGATTTCCCTGCAGCCCCCCTAAATACCTACCTGAACCTGATCTTGATCCAGCGATGTGCATGAGAGCTGAGGCTTTCTTGGCTCTTTCACTCATTGGCTCAGATACAACAGCAGGAGCCATTGGCTCCTGCTGCTTTCAATCAAAACTAGTGAAAAGAGAGCAGGGAGCGGAGCGGAGCCGAGCCCCACTCTGTATGTGTCCTTTGGACATGGGAGCAAGCATGCAAGTGGCTTGCTATGGGGGCAATCTAAGGAGTTTGGGGGGAGCAAGGAGCTCTGGGGTGGGACCCAAGAAGAAGATGATTGGGGTTACTTTGTGCAAAGCGAAAAACAATCCTTTAATATTACTTTAACCACTTGCCTACTGGGCACTTATACTCCCTTCCTGCCCAGGCCAATTTTCAGCGCTGTCGCACTTTGAATGACAATTGCGCAGTCATGCAACACTGTACCCATATGAAATTTGTATCATTTTTTTCATAAAAATAGCTTTCTTTTGGTGGTATTTATTCACCGCTGAGTGTTTTTTATTTTTTGTGCTATAAACAAAAAAAGAGCAAAAAATTGAAAAAAAAAGTTTTTTCTTTGTTTCTATTATAAAATTTTGCAAACAGGTAATTTTTCTCCTTCACTGATGTGCGTTGATGAGGCTACACTGATAGGAAGCACTGATGAGGTGGCATGGATAGGCAGCACTGATGGGCACTGATAGGCAGCAATGATTGGTGACACTGGTAAGCTGGCACTGATGAGGCGGCCAGTGATACTGCTGCACTGATATGCAACAATGATGGGTGGCACTGACTGGCTGCACTGATGGGTGGCACTGGTGGGTGGCACTGGTGGGCACAGGTGGGTACCGATCATCAGGGCCCTGATGATCGGTGCCAGTCCCTGCTTTGACAGTTGCCAGTTATCGGCAGTACTACAGCGTGAGGAAAGTGCAGCCGATAACCGGCAACTGCATTTACCGTTGATCTGCTTTGTCATTGGACACAGCTGATCACGTAGTAAAAGGACGCTGTGATTGGCCTTTTACCACATCACGTGATCAGCTGTGTCTACAGGACATGGTGATCATGGAGATTGCTGGCTGCACACCCCCAGGGGCAGGGTGTGTTCTGGGACAAAATGACCATGCAACCATGTAGCTGTCATTTGGCTATAGCGCAGTTGCCAAGTGGTTAAGATCTAGAAATACTATTTGGTGTGCATATTCATGTGGGAACATGTCTTTATTGCCTATTACTATTGACATTTTTATTTTTTTTTTAGGTCCGTGACAATAAGAGATTAAGGGTAAATGCCGTATGTTCACCTTCAGAACACTTTGCAGACCGACTGCCAATGAAGCCAATCACAGAGTTACAGTGAGCTGCCATCTTTCTTTCCCTTTTAAAAAGCATCAAATGTGCTATATCTGTTATAACAAAGGCGCTTAAACCTTTTTCTTTAACATTAACCCACTCTGGGTGTTCTCTTTATTGGAAACCTGTTCTTGTAAGTGAAGGAATGATGTTCACCCAGTCCTAGTTTTTTTTTTTTTTTTTTTTTTTTTCCTTCTTCATTAATATTTTTCAAGAAAAATACATGCACAATAGGTTACAGTGGTTCTCAGTACATAGTTACAAAAAACGAGAAAAGTCTCCCAGCAATAAAGAAAAAACATTACAAACATACCATCAATAGGCATCGTGTAGTAGAAATCCAGAAATCGTCATATTAACACTGGTGTAACCCTGTTTAACAGACTGAATAGTACATAGTCCATAAATCTCACATCAGTAACAATATTATCACGTTAACCACTTCAATACTGGGCACTTTCACCCCCTTCCTGTTTGGGCCAATTTTCAGCCTTCAGTGCTGTCAAACTTGTCATGCAACACTGTACCCATATGACATTTTTATCTCTGTTTTGAGAAAGATAGAGCTTTCTTTTGGAGGTATTTAATCAGCGCTGGGGTTTTTTATTTTTTGCTAAACGAACAAAGTCTGAACTGATGAGGCTGCACTTATGGGTACTGATAAGGCTTCACTGATGGACACTGCTGGGGCTGCACTTATAATCGGCACTGATGATCAGTGACCTGATTACCAGTGTAAACAAATCACTGTCAGGATTGCCAGTTGTCAGTGATCCTTTCCTCACACAGTGAAAATGCTGAAGAAAGGAAAAGCCAATAACCAGCAATCTATTTACATTTGGTCCACTGCGATTGGACACAGCTGGTCACATGGTGAAGGGCCCTTTTATGCGATGCGCGTTCTGGAAGGACATCTATAGAAGCCCTCCCAGAACAAGAGATCACCCTGTAGTCGTCTTTCGGCTATAGCGCAGTAATGTGGACTTTAAAGCTGTGTAGATAAGAATATCAAAACATGACTTCGATTGTTAGAGTGTATATGGAATCAGAAAGAGATGTCCGCTGAAAACTGTGAAACCAGGTTGTAAATAAGGAATATAACAGAAGAAAGAGGGACAAAATAAGAAGAGAGAGAGTGAAGCCTGGTACACACGGGCCCAATATCAGCCGGTTCAACTTTTGTAGAACGGGCATGCCGGAAAAAAAAAAAATCTGATCGACATTTGGTCAGTGCTCACAGCCAATGCAAGCCCTGACTGGGGTGATCTGGGTAGTCTCCCTGTTACAACACAATAATTCAGCGGAGAGATCGCTGTACTAACATCGCATAGTTAGTATAGAGACCTCCTTGTGAGCTCGTTTTTTTTTTTTTTTTTTTTTTTTTTTTATTTTGTTCAGCCCGCTGAGCTGAGTGAAATCAAGCTCATAGTGTGTTCCAGGCTTAAAAGGGGAGAGAGTGTGGGGGGAGGGGTATGATCTTCCCTGCCAGACAATCCCAAACATCCCCAGGTGGTTTAATAGAGTATGAGGGAGGTATCTCTAACTAAATTCTTGATGCTATGTAATTTAACATGTGTTTTTTCTTTTCTGCTCTGACTCTTCCTACAGACAATATGGCTTTTTCTCTTACTTGAGAGAGCTGTTTGATGCTCCCCAGCCAGTGATGAATTACTTAGTCTCCCAGTATCAGGTGCATGAGGTTCCTGTGGGAACAGAAAAGACTCGACATTTGATAGAAAGAGTAAGTGGTGAGAAATTAATTTAAAGGTGCTTGCAATTTAGAGTGCATATAAAATACATTATATGACTTTGAATTCTGTCAAATTCTTTAACACTATACCTATATTCACCCTTTACTCAAATGTCACCTGTACCCTGTTCTGTTTTCTCAAGCAATACTTTTTTGAATATACAAGCGTTAACAACTATTTACAAGCACATATATCTTTTACTGATACCTAATTATGGCTTCAGCTCAAAGAATTTATAGTAAACTGAAACTGATTTTGCCTTATTTCCTACATTTTATAATGTCAAAACAACCTAATTTAGTGACAAAATGCTGATCTTATTTTATTATCAGTAACCGATCTGTCTGTCTATGGCTAGTTATTGACTACTGTTACACTTACTGCTGAAAGGGATGTTTAGTAAGAAGCAGGGGAGGGAGGTGAGGAGAGGTGCAATAGCTACTTTAAGATATGTATACTTTTAAACAGATTTGGGTATGTTGCTCTGTTGCAATCAGTTCCTAACGCTCTAGTAAACCCAAAACCAAAAATGTATTTAGTTGCAGCTTATTACTTCTTACATGTGGTGGCTGCATTTATATACATATATTTTTTTTTTTATATAGACTGTTTCCTTTTATTCCAGTAAGTCTGTTATTTTTGAACTTTCTTTAACCACTTTACAACCGCTCTATAGCTGAATGACGGCTACAGCTCAGTTGTCCAGTTATGGGAGGGTGTCATATGACTTGCTCTCAGAAATCACCCCCTGCAGTGCTCACCCGACATTGTCAGTGATCACTGTGTCCTATGGACACAGCTGATCACATGACTAGGTAAAAGGCCAATCACAGCGGCCTTTTACCACGTGATCAGTTGTGTCCAATAACGCAGCAGATCACCGAGTAAATACAGTTGCTTGTTATCAGCTGCACTTTCACCACGCTGTCGCAGCGTGTGGAAATTACTGCCAATAACCGGCAGCTGTCACAGAGCAAAACAGCACTGATCATCAGGGCACTGATGATCAGTGCCCAGCAGTGCTGTCAGTGCCACCGATCAGTGTTGCCTATCAGTGCAGCCTCATCAACGCACATCAGTGAGGTAAAAAAATGACCTGTTTGCAAAATTATGGTATCATATGGCTCCCTCTCAGAATGCGCCCCCCCCCCCCCCCCCGCAGCACGCACCCTGGCGCTGTCAGTGACCACTGTGTCCTATGGACACAGCTGATCACTGACTAAGTAAAAGGCCAATCACAGCAGCCATTTACCACGTGATCAGCTGTGTCCAATGACACAGCAGATCACAAAGTAAATACAGTTGCCGGTTATCGGCAGCACTTTCCTCACGCTGTCACAGCATGAGGAAAGTACTGATGATAACCGGAAAATGTCACAGAGCAGATCTGCACTGATAATCAGTGCCCAGTGGGCCCAGCAGTTGTGCCTAGCAGTGCTGCCAGTCAGTGCCGCCTATCAGTGCAGCATTATCAGTGCCCACCAGTGCCGCCTTATCGGTGCAGCCTATCAGTGCCCAACAGTGCTGCCTATCCATGCCACCTCATCAGTGCCCATCAGTGCTACCTATAAGTGCAGCCTCATCAACGCACATCAGTGAAGGAGAAAAATTACCTTTTTGCAAAATTTTATAATAGAAACAAAGAAAAACATTTTTTTTCCCAAATTTTTTGCTCTTTTTTTGTTTATAGTGCAAAAAAAATAAAACACCCAGTGGGGATTAAATACCACAAACAGCTCTATTTTTGTGAAGAAAATGAAAAAAATTTCATATGGGTACAGTGTTGCATGACCGTGCAATTGTCATTCAAAGTGAAAGCTGTAAATTGGCGTGGGCACGAAGGGGGTAAAAATGCCCAATAGGCAAGTGGTTAACAGCAGAGCAAGTTGTCCAGCAAAAGTGGCAGTTAGAGGCTGAGACAAACCAGTCAAGTGGAACTAAAACCGAACTTGTAAAAAGCTGTGAGTAAGCAGCTCTTTATTGCTGAAGAAACCTACTGTGTCTCTTTTGCAATACTGCCTATTTACCTACCTGTTTGCAGTCTTCCTTTGAATGTACACTGAGTTGCGCTGTAACGACTGACCCCCGTGCTCTCCCACCGGCTAATTAAGAGGCCAAAAACTCAGCACCTGGAAGTAGCCAGGGGGGTGATGACAGTGACTGACAAGGGATGCAGCCACATTGCTGCAGAGGTGAGTATTGTGGGAGTTTAGTTACACTTTATCACTACAGGAGTGTCTACTATGCTTGTCATTTATTCATTTATGTATCCCAAAAGGAAAAACTTACTGTTGCTGTATATGCTTAAAAAGTGTTAACTGGAGATCAGCTTTCATTTATTAGTTAAGATTGTCTAAATCTATTGTATTTGACAATACCCTCTCCCCAGACTGACAATGCAGCTGTCCAAGGGGGCTCTTTTGCTCCTCCATCTAAAATGGAGACACATGAAGAAAGAAGTGTATTACGGTGATAAGCATTGCATTGATAAGCGGTTAAAAGTCCTTTCTTAAACTCTGTTCTTTCTATCCTGCCTTCATCTTCATTGTCATGGCTGTCTCTATACTTTATCAAACCATGGCTAGTTAAAGTCTCTAAATGAGATTTCACCAGTGGTGCAGCTGATTCTTAAATGTGTGTAGCAAACAGATGTGGCTTGAAATTTCAAATTGTATCAGTCTGCTTAAAACACCTGATCTCATGTTAGTACGCATGCGTAGGGCAGGAATTTGCTTCAGGTTTTGGACTGTGGAGCTTATGCGTATGAAAAATTTGAGCCACATGGCCTTTGAGGGACAAGGTCTCTTTGGACTTGCTTTTGATACCATCATCAAGGATGCTACTGGTGGTAGGACACCCATCTTCTGCAGAGGAGGAAACCTAGGGAATATACCGGGATGTCTCCCCCTGACAGTTAAGTATTGTTCTTTTTGTTTCCTCATACACTCAAATTCCTCATTGAGACCTTCCATGCTTGGTCCCCATCCTCTCGAAAGATCTGGCATTCAAGTCTTCCACATTCCCAGATAAGGCTTCTTTTGCATGAAGGTGTGTCCCTACTTTCCAGAGCAGAAGGATGTTTCTGAACTTTTGTGGATGCTTGGCCAACTTGCATCTCCAATGCATGGTGCAGAAGGTGGTATTCCAGGGCTCAAAACCGCAGTTTCACTCCCATTCCCCCCCAGTTTCTCAACCCCGACCTCCCTTTGTCACTACACAGCTTAGGGGACCTCCTGTGAGCACTTTTGGACCAGGATGCCCCCAGTTCCTGTGGCAGAACAGTTTCAATGATTTTACTCCAGCCTGTTCTCTGTTTCCAAGCCCGGAAGGAGAACTTACCTTACTTTGATCTCAAAACTCTAAATGTCTTTTTTTTTTTTTTAAGCTCAGAAATTCTGCATGCCACCAAATTTGTCACTGACTCCCTTTACCAGGAAGAATTTCTAGCTACTATGGACATCAAGGACACAGGCCTGCATGTCCCCATCTTGTCAATGCCCCAAGGTACAGGTCCCAGTATTAGCCCTGGTGCTTTCTCGTAGTACCTCCATTGTAGAAAACTTAAGACAACCTTCTTTTGATGGGACAGTTGGCACAGGCTCTGTTTGGGTGATTCGAACAAATGACCCTAGTCCTGCCAGGCATAAATGCTAATCACTAGGTAGCTGAGTTATGTTTTTATGAGAGGAGAGGGGCTAGGGGGCTGCATTGCACGTGAGGACTGGGGCTCTGTGCTCTGTATAGGGTTAGGGAGCAGGGGGTTATACTGTGAATGTGAAGAGAAGGTAGGGGGCCTGTACTGTGTGGGAGAAGGGTTGCTATGGGGCTGTGCAGTGTCTGAGAAGAGGGGGCCAGGGGGCTATGTTTTAATGTGAGGAGAGAGGGCATAGGAGCTGTACTGTGTCTGAGAAGAGAGGGCTGTATTGGGTGTGAGGAAAGGTCCAGGGGGCTTAGCCATATCTGAGGAGAGAGGACAGGGGAGCCGTATTGTGTGTAAGGAGAGTGGGCAGAGAGGGGATGTGTTGTGTGTAAGAAAGGGACGGGGGGGCTTTTTGTATGAAGAAAGGGAGCAGACTAAATACACTCACCTGCCCCATCTTCTCACACACCATACAGTCCCCCTGCACCCCTCCACACATATAACACAGCCTCCTAGACCTCTCTCCTCAGAAACAGTACAGCCCCCCTGACTCCCTCTCTCTTCATACACTGTACAGCCCCTGGCTCTTTTGTTTGTGAGGGGATTAGGCATAATATCTTCTCATCACATAACAGCCCCCTGGTTTCCTCTCATTAGTCAATGCTTTAACCCCCCCTTCCCCAAACCACACACACACCTCACATGCAGTACAGCCCCGGCCCTCTCTTTCTCACATACAGAACTGCCCTCCAACCCCTCTCCTCACACATGATAGAGCCCCTTGCCCCCTCTCCTCATACACTGCCTTAAAGTATTCATACCCCTTGAAATTTTCCACATTTTGTCATGTTACAACCAAAAACGTAAATGTATTTTATTGGGATTTTATGTGATAGACCAACACAAAGTGGCACATAATTGTGAAGTGAAAGGAAAATGATAAATGGTTTTCAAAATATTTTACAAATAAATATCTGAAAAATGTGACGTGCATTTGTATTCAGCCCCCCTAAGTCAATACTTTGAAGAACCACCTTTCTCTGCGATTACAGATGCAAGTCTTTTTGGGGATGTCTCTACCAGCTTTGCACATCTAGAGAGTAAAATTTTTGCCCATTCTTCTTTGCAAAATAGCTCAAGCTCTGTCAGAGTGGATGGAGAGTGTCTGAACAGCAATTTTCAAGTCTTGCCACCGATTCTCAATTGGATTCAGGTCTAGACTTTGACTGGGCCATTCTAACACATGAATATGCTTTGATCTAAACCATTCCATTGTAGCTCTGGCTGGATGTTTAGGGTCGTTGTCCTGCTGGAAGGTGAACCTCTGCTCCGTCTCAAGTCTTTTGCAGACTCTAACAGGTTTTCTTCTAAGATTGCCCTGTATTTGGCTCCATCCATATACCCATCAAGGATAAGTTCAGCTTTAGTAACATGTTACATGTTAGATCCATACTTTGGGTGTAACATGTTACAATGTAGCACCCCTGTTACCCCACCCCCAATGAACGTAAGCAAGGGTCTTCTCCCTGCCCTTGCTGTCACATTTTAAAAAAACTTTCTCCCCCAAAGAGCTGTCATTCATTCACAGATATCTGTGAATGATTGGACTACGAGTCCCATCTGGCACTGCTGAAGACATGTAGTTGACAATTTAATTTATTTCTCAATGCACTCACAATCCACTGAGTGTGCAGTTCTTTGCAGACTCTAATTTAAAAAAAAAATTAAAAAGAAAATTTTTTCTGTACCTGCAAAATCATGTGAATTTTATAATTTATTTATTTTACTAAAGGTTTACTTAGCCTTTAAAGCTGTTCACCCTTTTTCTGATCAGCTGTAGTGTACACATGCTGATTTTTTTTTTTTTTTTTTTTTCGCTCAACCCAGAATGGCAATAAATGCCTAAAGTGGTAGTTTAACTCTGTACATGAACTCGTTCACTGTCTAGGAGATATTCACATTGGCAATAGCCGATGACCTCGTAGGACGGGAGTGATGTCATTGCGGTTTGGCCATTAAAACAGCCAGTGCCCACAAACCCGGAAGAAGACCAGGTGAAAATGGAAGCCCTGTCAGCAGTGATAGTGCACCGCTTCAAGGCTTTGAAAGGTAGGTTTGTCATGATGTGCTAGTATGTGGTGCATATGAGTACATTATGGCATAAACCTGCATGGGGACCAGTTTTTTTTTTTTTTTTTTTCACTACCGCTTTAAAGGAAATCATTCCTGAAAACAACATAGAGGTGGCCATTGCCAACATCTTTCTGCAAATTCTAGTTGGTGCTTTTTGCCTGATACAGTTTCCATTTAAATGAATATGTCATCAACATCCATGCTCAGCACTGCACAGTACAAGTCACAACCAGCTGACATGTTGGGTTTTGGCATATTTCTCTTGATTTCAATGGACTGTGCACCAGGGACACATGCAGGCAGAGGTGTGGATCCAGTTGAAAGTCATGTTGACAGTTGGGAGGAGGTTTGACAGGGAATGCTGGTGAGTCTTGACTCTGTTGATAAGGTTGTACCCCCTTATTCACAAATTGTCCTGCTTAACCCCCCTGGCGGTATTCCCGAGTGTAGCTCGGGGTAAAGTTTCAGTACCAAAAGCGGTAACCCCGAGCTACACTCGGGCTTACCAAGTGGCGCTGCTTTGGGATCTGTTCTTCACTTATGTTGTCCTGCGCTCCCGCGATGTCCCTCCTGCAGTGTCCCCGGCAATGTCCCCAGGGGATGATGGCATCTGTCATCCGGGTTCCGTCCCCTGCGAGCGGCGGGACGTACGGGGGACGGAACGGCGGGAAATTTGAAAATGACAAAAAGTGACATTCACTAAATTCACTAAAATCACATAGTAAAACATTACTGTATAAAACCATTTCACATACATTTTGTCCTGAGTGCTTTGTCCTGTGCCCTGCCTGCATTTTTAAGGTTCTTTCTGCCTGGAAACTGAGAAATGTCCATGGTGTCCAAAAAACGTCCCTTTAGGTCAAAAGCGGTTTTAGATCAGCTAGAGAACAGCGATAGTAAATTAGAACCACTTGCAGAATTGAATGACAATGATTCATGGGGAAATTCGTCATCAGACACTGAAAAGGATTTTGCGAATTTGCTCAGTGATGTGCGAACTTGGCGCTATTTTTCAAATTTCAGTGTTTTTGGTTTGATTATATTATTGAATTAAATGTATTATTATTATATTATTATTTTTTATGATTATTTATTAAATTATAATTTATGATTTCGTGTTTCAAATTGTAACATACCCGGGATGTTTACTAGACTCTTGCTTGGACAGATTTCAGTGAGTTATTCCTAAAAATTACAGGCCTACAATAAAAAAAATGCATATTTCCATGCAAAAAAATGTACCGCTTTGAGCACAGAAATATGGACATAATCAGACCGCTAGGGAGGTTAAAGTAGAATTCCGGGTAAACCTAACTAATCTAAAAACTGTCCCCTCCCTCCTCCTAACACCTATGCTGACTAACCTATGAAAGAAAGAAAGAAAGAAAGAAATAGATAGATAGATAGAGATCTATCTATCTAGTTTCAGCTTGCTCATATCCAATCATCTGATCCTGTTGTCCTTTTTCAGTCAGTGAGGACTGTAGGTAGAGGAGGGAGCGCCGACTGTAGATGGGACATGGGAACCTACCAGAATTTCCAGCCATCATCAAGCGCTCTCTTCTTTGGCTGACACAGTGGAGCCATATCATGTGACCAGACCCAAGCACACCGAAGATAGGTAAGTATATACAACATATGTGCAGGAAACTAGCTGAGTCATCTACCTTTTATTCTACTTTCATTTTATTGCCTTATGTTTTGGTAATCTGAAACTTTCATAACTATATCATGGTCCATAAACGTTCCTAAAACCTCTTTCACATAAACTAATTTTTTTTGGATTAGATCATGTACAGTATATGTTAGTGGTTTTTGTAATACTTCTTTGTCAGTGATTACATTTATCCTTCTCAATTTTTAGGTAATAAGAGAGACTAAACTCCGCCAGTTGTACACAGCAGAAGAAAAGTACTCCACAAAGGTATCTGCGTATAGCAACAGTGTGATCTCAAGTAACAATCCTTTGAAGGAAGCCAGATTTCTCACAGTCACGGTGGACCCGGAGGAGAGGAGACAGGTTCTTGAACAATACAAGGTAAGAAACAGAGATTGTGTAGTGTAAAGTGGCAGTCTCTCCAAAAGTATGCTGTTTTGCAAATAAATGGTTATACCTTCAAATAACAGCATTTAAGAGTAACTCCACCTTTCTTGGGAAAAAAAAACAATCCCCTCTGGGTAATCAATGTACGTTTGAAAAGCTTTTCAACAAATTTTGTTGCAGATTCCTACCTTTTTTTTTGCTCTGAAGGTATAGCTCATGTCTTGTGCAGGACTGATTCTAAATGTGACTAATTCATTAAAAGCTGCTAATGCACTTCCATGGTTCTGATGCGAAAATTTGCAGTGTCTGCATCCCTTTAGAAGCGTTTAACACTTAGATAGTATCTCACCGAAAATGACATTTTTGTTGCTGGAGATGCCTAAAACTTGACTTGTATCTTAGTGCAACTTCTCAGTTAAACAGGAAATGACATTTCTGGGGGCGTTGTGTACACCAGCTGTTTACAGAAGGCCTCCAGGTTGCCATATTGCATTCAGTATATAGAAAATTACTGCGGATGCAGATTTGAAAAGGACAGGTAATTTTTTTAATAACAATAAATTACAACATGTATTGTTTATCAATGATGTATGCTATATTATATTTTTATTTGCTGTTTTTTTTCTACAAAAATGGAGTTACCCTTTTAATAGTGATTATCCAAATGAATTGCCATATTTTCTTGATTTGTTGACACTAGGCAGAAGCATTGAACCAGTAATCTTTGGCTGGGGATATTTCTAATAATTTATCCAGAGCAACCAGCATAGCACTGCGCTCAGAACAGTCCTGTGCAAACAATACTAACAAGCCATGTAACTACCTTTATAAGGCCTCATGCACACTGGAGGCTTTGCTATCTCTCCTAGATGCCTTTCCTCTTGGCAGCAGAGTTTTGGCAGAAAAAATGCCATAATAATAATTTATTCTGGCCTTTTGAAATTAACGCCCAAGCGCTAAATGTGCCTAGCCTTAGAGCACATTTAGACGCATTTACAGGTGTCAAGTGTTTTTTTTCTGGCAAAATGCCACTGCTCCTGGACACACTGAAAGTGTTTTGTTTTTTCCCCATGCCTATAAACTCCTCTAAACACCTATGTGAGCATGGACACATAGGCTAACATGCAGGGGCGTTTAGAGACAAAAAAAATGCCAGACGTCCCTGTTAAAAAACATCTAGTGTGCATGAGCAGGGGTAAGAGGTAAGGAAACTGCTAAAGTGTAGACACCTTGTTTTGTGTGCATGTATCTGTGTTTAGTCTTTATATGAATCCCTTGGGGCCTAGGCTGAGTATAGGCCCCAAGGGATGCCACTACATGCTACTGAGGTCCTGGCATTCAATTGCTGAATTGCAAAGCATGAAGTTTAATATCAGGAGAAATGGGGCTAAGTGCTAAAGGAATGCTTGTTCTTTTACATAGCCAGGCATGAAGCTGTGCTACAGTGAAATAGAAATTGACTTAATTACTGAGTTATCTGTATGGAACACAAGGTGATGAGGAGAGGGATAGGAGACTAGATTTTAGAGTGGGGTTTCACCATCATTGGGGAGAGTCTTACAATATATGTGGAAAGTGACAGCTATGACTGGCAAGACGAATGAAGCATGGAGGATGAAATAGTAGAACAAAAGTTAGAGAGACAAACATGGACTATATACGATAAAAGATCAAGTCATTCTCAGTGGACCGATGTACCTGGATGTATATTCATGTATTACCTGCAGGTGTCACTGTTGCTCTGATCGCTGCATGTGTATGTAAGCTGTTTGAAAAAGGATACACTTATTTATAGATGAAAGACTATTTGCTGCTTTATGAATAAACATAATAAAATCCTACTTTACTACTTAAGCACATGTTTGTTTATATGGTTTGTATGAAACCGCTATTACTTCACTATTTATTTTATTTGCAACTTGTGATGGTAATTTTAGGAGATCGAGGAAAGGTGCTCAGTGTTAGACAACCAGATGCGTGAGCTAACTAATAGTCAGAAGTTGCTGGACAAAAGAGATAATGAACTGAGGTCACGGAAAAAAGAAATACTGGATATGAAAACCAAAAAGCGACAGCTAGAACAGAGAATTAGTACCAAATTTGATAGGTAAGTTAAGAAACTTTCATTTGTAGTGAAATGTCTACGTACACTGTGGTTTTTTGAACTTACTATATGTTAACTAAATTTGAGCTCCCTGCAGAGCTATATTGTTTTTCCATAAGTCAAATGTGCTGCTTTGTTAGAGTGAATGTGGGAAATCAATTGACTAATCAGTACATTGTTGTCACAAATATATTGCCTACACAATGAATAAACGACTGAAGTAGTTTATTCATTGTCATAATAAAAATTGCTACTCTTTTTTTTTTCTCAGAAAAAAGGTGCAGAAACTCGCCCCCCTCCCCTAGGTCACGCTTGTCTCTGCCTCTAGAACCGCTCCCTTTAGAGAAAAGAGAACCAAGTATAATTTGGGGAGGCTAGCCCTTAGAGTTTTTGCAGTAAAAACAATAATAGACACACTACAGCAAGAATAGATTCCTCCAGCAACAACAGACAGTCTCCCCATATATCCAGCAAAGAGACATCCCCTTATATTTAACAAAGAGATGGCCTAATCCAGCAAGAGAGACATCCCCATATATCCAGCAAAGAGACATCCCCTTATATTTAACAAAGAGATGGCCTAATCCAGCAAGAAGACATCCCATATATTCAGCAAAGAGATGGCCCAATACAGCAAGGAGACATCCCCATATATTCAGCAAAGAGATGGCCCAATACAGCAAGGAGACATCCCCATATATTAAGTGTAGAGATTGCCCAATCCAGCAAAGGGACGGCCCCAGGCAGCACAGACCCACATCCAAGCAGCATTAACAGACCATGTTACTGCTTGGAGGATATTTCTCTCTTGCTGTGCCTTTTTGTTGCCCTGTGGGCTGTGTCTCCTTTGCTGTGCCATATTACCTCCCTGATTCTCCCATGCCATACCATAAATAAAAAAAAAAATTATTGTGGTGCCTGTTAAAAACCCTGTATTGGTGACCGTGCTGTAATCAACCTGAAGAATCTTCCAAAGGCAGTAGTAGCAGCGCTGTTATTAGTGCTGTGATACATTGTTATTATGTAGACTATTTCTCTGTACTATGTCCTATCATTGCCCCTTCTGTGCACTCAAGTTCTGCAATAAATGCATGCACATCGGGTTCCCTGTGATTAACCTGTGGGTGCTCTCTCTGCGCTCCTAGTCTGTCACACTGATTACTGCAATGATTAAAGCTAGGAAGTCTACTTCTTGCAAGATCTTCACACGTGAAAGGCATACTTGTCCTGGTATGAAAAAAAGATGTGTTGCATTACCCTTTAAAAGTGACTAATATAATCGTGAAAGTCAAACCAAAAAGTGTGTTTTTGTGAAAATCAACAGAATAAAACCTTTACCATCTTGAAAAATAAGGGTACATTTACTTATTTTTCAAGATGATATTTGGTTTAGATTGTGGACGATTACAAAAACACTTCTTGATCAGTTTATGGCCTCTACTAAAATCATTTTTAAAGGGGGTAACAAAATATTTATTTATTTATTTTTTTTGATTATGGTGTATTCAGGTAATTGAAGTGTGATTTCCCAAGTGGTGCACATTTAATATATTGTTTTTTGACTAGTGCAGACTTTCATTTTGAAATACTTCTCCTAGTGCAAGTCTCAGGGCTTCCACCCTAGGAGATTTTCCATGGGATAAATTCTCTTTTACGCTGCTAGAACAGTGTTTGGCTCTTAGAAAGATCAAATGTTAGGTCTCTGCTGGTGCTTTCCCATTTCAAAGACCAGTGTTGTCTCAGTATTTAATAACTTGTTTCTTGGAGTCCCCCATGTAGCTCCCCCTGTTTGCTCCCATCTGATCTAAATCTGGTACTCTCTGCAGTTCAAAAATCACCAATTGAACCTTTTAGAAACATCACCCTCTCTACACTTACCCCACAAGGTGTTGTTTTATGTAGCCATTACCTCTGCAAGGAAAGTGTCTGAGCTCGTGATCTTATCCTGCAAATACGTTTTTTTTTTTCCCTGGTTTTGTACAAGTACAAGGGGGTATTGAGATACAAGAAAGCCAGAAAATCATTCACCTCCATGTTTGGCCCCATGTTCATCAAAAAAGAGATTACCCTCTATTGTTTGTAAATCGTTCAGGCTACAAGAGTCTGTTTCTCAGCCACTTCTGATCACAGATCCCCTGCTTGCCGTCCTGGATGGTCCCCACAAGGGAACACAAGCTTCTTGCTTGCTTGGAGTGGCTCAAACAGACCATTATTCAAGATTATGGTCTCAAGGATTGAGTTCCTTTAAGATAAACAAAGAAAGAACATTTTGTACTTGCCTTAACATCTTTTCCTTAGAGTTCATAGATGGACAGGTCCTACCCCACTGTGTTAATGATCATACTCTCAATACTGCTTGCTACGAAACTGAGGCTTTGCTGGGTAGTATGGGCTATACACTCTTCCAGCTGATGCTCTCATATAATATACAGTCATGGCCGAAATTGTTGGCACCCTTGATATTTTTCCTGAAAATCAAGTATTTCACACAAAAAAGGTATTGCATTAACACATGTTTGCTATACACATGTTTATTCCCTTTGTATGTATTGGAACAAATATAAAACAGAGGCAGAAAAGCAAATATGACATAATGTCACACAAAAACCCCAAAAATGGGCTGGACAAAAGTATTGGCACCCTTAACTTAATATTTGGTTGCACACCCTTTGGAAAACATAACTGAAAATCAGTCGCTTCCTATAACCATCAATAAGCTTCTGACACCTCTCACCCGGAATTTTGGACCACTCTTCCTTTGCAAACAGCTCCAGGTCTCTCTTATTGGAAGGACAACCTTTTCCCAACAGCAATTTTAAGATCTCTCCACAGGTGTTCAATGGGATTTAGATCTGGGCTCATTGCTGGCCACTTCAGAACTCTCCAGCGCTTCTTTGCCATCCATTTCTGAGCTTTTTGACGTATGTTTGGGGTCATTGTCCTGCTGGAAGACCAGGATCTTGGACGCAAACCCAGCTTTCTGACACTGGGCCCTACAGTGCGACCCAAAATCCTTTGGTAAATCCTCAGATTTCATGATGCCTTGCACACAGTCAAGGCACCCAGTGCCAGAGGCAGCAAACAACCCCAAAACATCATTGAACCGTCCACCATATTTTAACCGTAGGTACTGTGTTTTGTTCTTTGTAGGCCTCATTCCGTTTTCGGTAAACAGTAAAATGATGTGCTTTTACCGAAAAGCTCTATCTTGGTCTCATCTGTCCACAAGACGTTTTCCCAGAAGGCTTTTGGCTTACTCAAGTACATTTTGGCAAACTGTAGTCTTGCTTTTTTATGTCTCTGTGTCAGCAGTGGGTCCTCCTGGGTCCTCCTGCCATTAGCGTTTCATTTCATTTAAATGTCGACGGATAGTTCGCGCTGACACTGATGCCTCCCTGAGCCTGCAGGACAGCTTGAATGTCTTTGGAACATGTTTGGGGCTGCTTATCCACCATCCGGACTATTCTGCGTTGCAATCTTTCATCAATTTTCCTCATCCGTCCACGACCAGGGAGATTAGCTACAGTGCCATGGGTTGCAAACTTCTTGATAATGTTGCGCACTGTGGACAAAGGCAAATCTAGTTCTCTGGAGATGGACTTGTAACCTTAGATTGTTGATATTTTGCCACAATTTTGGTTTCTCAGGTCCTCAGACAGTTCTCGTCTCCTCTTTATGTTGTCCATGCTTAGTGTGGCACAGACAGACACACAATGCAAAGGTTAAGTGAACGTCTCTCCTTTTTATCTGCTTTCAGGTGTGATTTCTAATATTGCCCACACCTGTTACTTGCCCCAGGTGAGTTTACAGGAGCATCACATGCTTGTAACATTCTTATTTATCCGCAGTTGTGAAAGGGTGCCAATACTTTTGTCCAGCCCATTTTTGGAGGTTTGTGTTTTATTAGCGCCCAGATAAAAACACTTACAAGATGTAAGATACAAGCCAGCATAAAAAAGTATATCTCATTACATGGCTCACCACCCCACTCTCCCGGATGGTCATTAGATAAAATGTCTAGGACTCGGCTCCATCCACCCATATACGTTATGCCCCAGATTCAGGCTTCCTCAGTAGATAGGGGAGCCTGCCAATGTGGCGCCCTTAACCCCTTGAAAACGCGCTAAAGCCTAATGCCGGCTACAGTGCGGTTGTCCAGTTCTGGGAGGGTGTCAAATAAAGTCCTCCCAGAATGCACCCTCCTGTAAAAGGCCAGTCACAGCAGCCTTTTACCACGTGATCAGTTGTGTCCAATGACGCAGCAGATCACCGAGTAAATACAGTTTCCGGTTATCAGCTGCACTTTCCTCATGCTGTCACAGCGTGAGGAAAGTACTGCCGATATCCAGCTGCTTTCCAAGAGCAGAACGGCACTGATCATCAGGACACTGATGAGCAGTGCCACCCATCAGTGCTGCCTATCAGTGCTGCGTACCAGTGCAGCCTCATCAACGCACATCAGTGAGGCAAAAAAATTACCTGTTTGCAAAATTTTATAATAGAAAAAAAGAAAAACGTTTTTTTTCCAATTTTGCTACTTTTTTTGTTTTGTTTATAGTGCAAAAAATAAAACACCCAGTGGCGATTAAATACCACCAAAAGAAAGCTTTATTTGTGTGAATAAAATTTTAAAAATGTCATATGGGTACAATGTTGCATGACCGCACAATTGGGTCATTCAAAGTGTGAGAGCACTGAAAGCTGAAAATTGGCATAGACAGGAAGGGGTAAAAGTGCCCAATAGGCAAGTGGTTAAATAACCCATGTATTTCTTTAGTGCTACCCCTGGAAATGACATAACACGGGGTGAGGGGGGTGCTGGAACATATTTACATTTTACAACTTAAAAATGTGTGCAACATGTAACATGATCCAAAGCTGAACTTTAACTTCAGCAGAGTTTTGTACTGTTTTCTCCAGAAAGCCTACATCTTAAATTAGTCAATAAAGGGTATTTCTGCTTTAAATATTAGCTTGAAACAGTTGGAGCAAGAAAATAATAATTTGGAAGAAGCTGAAGAACAAGCAAATGCCAAAATAAGAGAAGTTAACCTCCAGAAGGCAAAACTTGTTACAGAACTCACCAGATTAATTATGGTAAGCTTTTACTAGTTTTCAGTGATTGAGTTTACATATACTTTAATGTCAGTAGTCAGTTTTTATGTATGGGAGAGAAAAACTAAATTAGATTTTGTGGGAAAAAATTTGAGAAATAATTTACAATATATGAAATATATACAACATATTTACCTGGTGGGGGGTTACCATATTTGTTTTTTCTGTTGCTTTGGATATATACAGTATTTAAAAAATAACTCTACTTTTGTTGAAAAAAACATTCCCCCTTGGTGTTTTATGTACAGTGGGTATAAAAAAGAATCGCCCCTCTTAAAATGAATCACATTTTGTTGCTTTGCAGCCTGAAATGAAGACAGACAGTTTTTGTGTCTGTCTTCATTTCAGGTTGAAAAGCAATAAATGTGATTATTTTAAAGGGTGTTGATTCTTTTCTATACCCACTGTACATTGCAAGGATTTTAACAAACTTGGTTGCAGATTCCTCCATTTTGTTATTCTGAAGGAAGAGCTGTTCGTTTGTCTGTGTGTCCAGGTGCAGCGTGAATCTGTATGGGAGTGATTTTATAATTATCAATCAGCTGCTGCACAGGCAGGGCTCCAATGAGGAAATTTGCAGGGTCTGCATCCCTTTTGACGTTATTTCCATTTGGGATTATCTCACAAAAAAATTAATTTTTTTTGTTGCAGGGAATGCCAAAAGTACAAATTGTATCTAAAGCTGGCCAAACATTATACAATTTTCTTCTACAATTTCCTTTAGATTTACCTTCAACTGTGTAGTGCAAGGGCTGGCTGATTGAATACAAACTGAAAGTGTTTAGGTGTGACATCATAATATATGGTTTTGGTAAACCTAAAAGAAAATTGTACAAGAGGCATTCAAGTCAAACCAGGACTTTTAATTTTACAGGTATAAAAAGGGATGTTAGTGTGGCGGTACTACACACAGTAAATGGCAAGTGTTTCCTTTTACTGTTAGGTGGTGCACATGTCGCTAGCCAGTCCAGAGACCGTTATTCAAGATGGCAGATGGTGTTAGTGCATGCGGTGATGATGTTTATTATCAAAGGTGTAAAACCCGCAGATATCTACAAAAATTTTCAAGCACAGTGTGGTGATGAGACGCTCAGCCGCAGTAAGACATTTGAATGGTGTCAATTTTTCAAAGATGGCTGTACATCCATCAGTGAACCATGGTGGTTCCCAACATTCTCTACTCCGTGGTGCCTCTATCAATAGTGAATATTACTGTCATGTTCTGAGTGTTGTGCATACTCGTCTGTGGAAAAAATGGCCTGGTTTGATCACTAAGGGTGTCCTGTTTCTCCAGGACAATGTACGAGCTCATACTGCTCACTGCATTACTTGCACATTACAGCAACTTGGCTGGGAGGTATTGTCACATCTCCTTTACAGCCCAGACCTCGTCCCAAGTGATTTCCACCTGTTTAGACCCCTAAAAAGAGGTCAGCATTTCAGCGCTGATGACGAAGTGAAGCAGGGGAGTTATTATAAAAACTCTAAAAGTCCCGATTTGACTTGAACGTCCCTCGTATAATGTATGGCCAGCCTTAGTGAGGGTTCTGAGAAAATCAGTAAGCCAATTACTAAAGCAGGAAATTACATTTTCGGGGATGTTCTGTTCACCATCTGTGTACAGAACGCCTCCATGTAGCCATATCGCATTGCATGTTACAGAAAATTACAGCGTCGCACATTGAAAAGCAAAGATAATTTTTATTAACATTCAATTACAATATGAATTGAGTTGCAGTTGTAAATGTGTGTGTATGTATATATGTGTGTGTGTGTGTATATATATATATATATATATATATATATATATATATATATATATAGTGAGGGATTAGCCCAGTAGCGGGTTGTGCTTGACCCCCTGAATGGGTCAGAACACCGTGAAAGAGGCTCAGCACGACAGCAGGATCTTGGTGAAAAGCTGTGCTTTATTTACAAGTCTGGTGAACACACGTGCATATAGTCAAAACAGCAAAAAAAATACAAAGAGAAAATAGAACCTTGCCACACTGGGCGTCTCACTCCAATCACAGTTTTCCTATCTAGCTGTCTGAATACAGCCTACTGCTGCTCAGACACAGGGGGGTTTATTTACTAAAGCTGGAGAGTCCAAAATCAGACTCCCTTCTGCATAGAAACCAATCAGCTTCCAGGTTTCATTGCCAAAGCTTCATTGAACAAGCTGAGGTTAGAAGCTGATTGGTTTCTATGCAGAAGGGAGTCTGATTTTGGACTCTCTCAGCTTTAGTAAATAAACCCCAGGGTGTTCACACAGTCTAAGATCACACAGATTATCTCTCACCACAGGATGGTTTTGGTTGCTTCCCAGTCTGTCCTGCACAGCAAACTGGTTCCAGGTTGGAGCATCTTTCCTAAGTAGCCTGGGAGTTTTATAGAACCCAGAGCCCTTAACTCGCTACACCTTAGCTCATTAGATCATCAGTGAGCCAGACAGGCTCACTACACAGCACCAAAGGAGAAACAGTCAGTGTAAAGCATGAACCTGGGACAAACATACCTCCCATCCTGGATACATCCCTTAGTTCTTCCTGACCTCCTGTCACAATAAATTATATATATATATATATATATATATATATATATATATATATATATATATATATATATATATATATATATATATACACACACACACACAGTATATACACAGTTAGGTCCACATATATTTGGACAGAGGCACAATTTTTTTTTTTTTTTTTTTTCTTTCAGGTATTTACCAAAACATATTCAAGCTATAGTTATATAATGGATATGGGCTTAAAGTGCACACTCTCAGGTTCAATTTGAAGGTATGTACATGCAAATTGGAAGAAGGGTTTATGAATTACAGCTCTTAAGAGCAGACATCCCCCTTTTTCAAGGGACCAAAAGTAATTGGACAATTGAATCAAAAGCTGTTTCATGGTCATGTGTGGGCTACTGCTTCGTTATTTCTTCATCAATTAAGCAGGTAAAAGGTCTGGAGTTGATTATAAGTGTGGTATTTGCATTTGGAATCCATTTGCTGTGAACCTACATCATGCGTTCAAAGGAGCTGTCCATGCAAGTGAAACCGGCCATTGTAAGGCTTCATAAATGAAACAAATCCATCAGAGAGATAGCAGCAACATTAGAAGTGGCCAAATCAGCAGTTTAGTACATTCTGAGGAAAGAAAAAGGCACTGGTAAGATCAGCAACATAAAAAGGCATGGACATCCTCGGAAGACAACAGTGGTGGATGATCGCAGGATCCCCTCTATGGTAAAGAAAAACCCATTCACAACATCCAGACCAGTGAAGGACACTCTCCAGGAGGTGGGCATATCATTGTCAAAGTCTACAATCAAGAGAAGACTTCACAAGAGCAAATACAGAGGGTTCACCACAAGGTGCAAACCATTCATAAGCCTGAAGAATAGAAAAGCCAGATTAGACTTTGCCAAAAAACATCTAAAAGAGCCACACCAATTCTGGAAAAGCATTCTTTGGATGGATAAAACTAAGATTAATCTGCACCAGAATGATGGGAAGAAGTGTATAGAAGGCTTGGAACAGCTCATCCAAAGAGCACAACGTCATATGTAAAACATGGTAGAGGCAGTATGATGGCATGGGCATGCATAGCTTCCAGTGGCACTGGGTCATTGGTGTTTATTGATGATGTGACAGAAGACAGAAGCAGCCGGATGAATTCTGCAATGTTTTTAGAGATATACTGTCAGCCCAGATTCAGCCAAATGCAGCAAAGTTGATTGGACGGTTCTTCACAGTACAGATGGACAATGATCCAAAACACACTGCAAAAGCAACCCAAGAGCTTTTGAAGGAAAAGAAGTGGAATATTCTGCAATGGCCGAGTCAATCACCTGATCTCAACCTAATTGAGAATGCATTTCACTTGCTGAAGGCAAAACTAAAGGCAGAAAGACCCACAAACAAAGAACAACTAAGACAGCTGCAGTTAGAGCCTGGAAAAGCATCAGAAAGCAGGAAACAGTCTTTGGTAATGTCCATGGGTTCCAAATGTTAGGCAGTCAATGCCAGTAAAGGATTCTCAACAAAATATCATAAATAATCATTTTATTTATGATTATATTCATTTGTCCAATTACTTTTAATCCCTTGAAAAAAGAGGGGATAGCTACTCTCAAGAGCTGTAATTCCTAAACCCTTCCTCCAATTTGAATTTACATACCCTCAAATGAAACCTGAGAGTGTGCACTTTCAGCCCATATCCATCATATAACTGTTTTGGTAAATACCTGAAAAAAAAACAAAATTGTGCCTGTGTCTAAATATATATGGACCTAACTGTATGTGTATGTATATATGTGTGTGTGTGTGTGTGTATTTATTATTTGCTAATTTTTTTTCTCATGAAAGTGGAGTTACCCTTTAAAAGTCTCCAGGGACTCATATGTTATATGTTCCATCATCCTTTCCCTGAATTTTACACAACATATTCTTATCTTAACCACTTGCCTACCGGGCACTTTCACCCCCTTCCTCCCAGGCCAATTTTCACCTTTCAGAGCTGTTGCATTTTAAATGACAATTGCATGGTCATGCAACACTGTACCCATATGAAATATTTTAAAACATTTTTTCACACAAATAGAGATTTATTTTAGTGGTATTTAATCACCACTGGGTTTTTTTACTTTTTGCACTGTAAACAAAAAAAAAAAAAAGAACATTTTGAAAAAAATGCGTTTTTCTTTGTTTCTGTTATAACATTTTGCAAATAAATAATTTTTGGACACAAATTTAGGCCAAAATGTATGCTGCTACATCTCTTCGGTGAAAAGAACCCAAATCCGTGTTTTTTATTTAGTTGGTAGAAAAGTTATACAGTCCGCAAATTATGGTATATATCTAAAAATTGATAAATGCTAATATACTGCTGGCTGATTTAATTTCTTGAGGCCCAAAAATGCCAGGACAGTACAAACACCCCCAAAATTACCACTTTTGGTCATTCGTAAGAGGCATGGTG